ATATCGTTCCCCCGACCGGACGCAGAGGAAGCTTAGCGAAGGCATGCGCTGGCGACACCTGAATCCAGATCATCATCATCTAGAAGGACATCGAGGGACTATACAAGAGCTTCGCGAAACTATCAACGTCCCCTCACAAGTTCCCGAGAAGATCAACCCATAGACAAGTTGATCATCGATATCAAGTATAAGAACTACAATCGTATATTGGTTCTGTTGAATCCATGACGAGACGTATGTTCGCTGGCCTAAATAGATCTAGAACGATCAATTAGACACTTATCACCAGACTGTGAACCACCACTTCTGAAAATGATAAGATGATCCATGCGGCCCTACTTTAGGCAAGCCGCCCGATCCCACATCCTGTTAAACACAGAGGCTGTTCACGAAGCAAGCTCATATATATATTTATATATATATATATATATACTAATCGGGCTTTTGACTCGACACCTTCGCGATGGTCGCGAAGGCTAAGTGGCTCCAAGTCTACTTCACCCAGAAGATCTAGAAGGGATACCGAGAACTTCGCGAAGTCTCCGGCTTTCACCGAGGAAGTCTCCTCCAAGGTTTCCATATACCAGCCACTCGTCATATATAGCTACCGTCAGTCCGTTCAAGACGTCGCATAAGTTGATTATCAACTGTATGCCAGATGCCGCCTATAAGCCTCACGCGAAGATAATTGCTCAGGCTATTTACAACACAGAACGCCGCTGTATTATTTAGTCAATGACATTTCATAGATCTTCACAGAAATCAACTATTCCGTATAAATTGCTAATATGCAATCCCGGACGACGATACGATTATCTACATGCGTGACCATTACGCATATCTGCAGACAATTCAATATCGAAATTGAACAGCAGCCTTGTTACAGCGTTAACTCTTAATCGCCAAGTTTCTGAGAAGAAATATGTACAACAAGTTCAACGTTAATTCTACAATTATGACGATACATTCATGTATACAGTCTACAAGCTCACAACTTGCAAGTTGTTTATACCCTTATATATAAGGAAGTCGGAATTATATTCAAAACTGAAATTACTTTCGACAACCAGGAAAATAACCTACCCAGCATAAAATTACAGAGCGAGATATTTCTCATACGGAGGTTTCAGCGGCGATACCATTAACCCCTCAAACACGTGGTCACTCGGTTAACCGGGAAGCTACGGTGAAGACCGACGTTTATGCTAATATCAACGGCGACAAGAATTTATTCAAGGTGGGTTTTTTTTCCGCTACACCGGTGACATCACAGCGGGTATTATACAGAATCAAAATGCCTTGTTCTGATTGGACCGCTGAGGGACAACGACCTACGCAGAGGTCGATCTCATTCACAGTTCAAGACTTTCGCCACAAGTGACAACTATATATCAGTGAACGAGCAAGCCTCATTACAGTCCAGTTAACCTGAACATTCATGATTAGACTGCCTTCTTCAGTTAGAGACCTCCCCTGTCAAGTTAAGACGAGGGATCGGCAGTCAGGCGATTTTACATAAAGTTCAACGAGGACAGACACACCTGGTTGTGCACCTACATCGTCAAGGACTTAGAGCGAATTACCTAGACGAAAGATACAAGTGGATCTAAATCCACAGCGTTTTCAGACTACAGCTGAATTTCATCAAGCGACTAACACAACTAGATGGTTAGTAAACCTATTAAACTTCTGTTTGGAGAATAAACGGAAATTTCACGCCTCAAACCTGGGGATATGAATATAGTGCTCCAACACCTCACAAGTGAGGTTTATGAACACGCCTGGATGACATACTTGGACCCCATGATACGATGATTCTATCAAGATGGCCAGCAAGGGCACTGTAAATTTATCTCCACCGAACCAATCAGGAGGAAAAATGCAACAGATTATTTCCTCTATCATCAACTTACGCCAGAGTGAAGTCTCATGTACTATATCTCCGTTTGGATCAGAACTGTCATACTCACGTGCATATCGCGGATGGACCTATTCGACCCTCCATGAGCTTAATACTCATGATATTAGAGCTTAACTTCTACAATTGTTCTACACAAATGTGATTGAAATAATGGAGGGTTTATTTCTGGGAATCCGATATGGTGGTTGCAAACCATTATCTGAGAGATATCACCACCGAGGGCGTCTCAGGTATACACCAATTCATCCCATGGTCCGCCTACAACAGCTGACAGTTCTCGGAGAAGATAAGTCAATCTAACAGATTTTACTTATCTTATAACAATAAGAAATAGCTTCATGCTATATATAATTTACTTAAGTTCCTTTTATCATCACAGTACTATGATTATTACATCATACAATATATAAGTTAACAACTCTACAGAGTTTGTTATTATATATATTTACCTTAAGTTATTCATATCTTAAGAGTAATACTATGGTTACATGATAAATGCATTAGCTAACAAACTCTACAGAGTTTTTGGCTATTTTATACGTAGCTTAAGTTAATTAAGCTAACAAACTCTACGGAGTTTTTTACTATTATATAGGTAACTTAAGCTAATTATACCTTAAGCATAGTACTATACTCATATTATTAAAATATATTAGCTAACAAACTCTAAGGAGCTTTGCTATTATATAGGTAGCTTAAGCTTACTCATATCTTAAGCTTAGTACTATGTTTATATCATATAAGTAGATTAGCTAACAAACTCTAAAGAGTTTTTTGCTATTTGGCTTAAGTGTCATCATATTTCTAAGCAATATGGTTATATTATAACATGTATTAGCTAACAAACTCTACAGAGTTTTAGCTATTATATGTAACTTAAGCTTATTCATATCTTAAGCTATAGTATATGTTTATATCATATAGGTATATTAGCTATCAAAACTCTAAAAGAGGGTTTTGCTATTATATATTTAAACTTAAGTTTCATCATATTTTAAGCTTTATGGTTACATTATAACATGTATTAGCTAACAAACTCTACGGAGTTCTTGCTATTATATATGTAGCTTAAGTTTTCCTTCATAAGCTCAATACTAGGTTTATATCATAGCTAACAAACTCTAAAGGGGTTGTTTTCGCTATTATACAATTAGCTTAAGTTTCATCATATCTTAAGCAGTATGTTTACATTATAAAGGTATTAGCTAACAAAACTCTACGGAGTTTTGTTATTATATATATATAGCTTAAGTTTCATCATAACTTAAGCTCAGTACCTCGTTTTTAACATAAAAGTATATTAGTTAATAAACTCTAAGGAGTTTATTTTGCTATATACATTTAGCTTAAGTCTAATCTTATCTTAAGCTTAGTACTATGGTTACACTATAAACATATTAGCTAATAAACTCTACAGAGTTTTTGGCTATTATATATGTAGCTTAAGTTAATAATATCTTAAGCACAATACTATACTCATATTGTAAAATATATTAGCTAACAAACTCTCATGGAGTTTTGCTATTATATATGTAGCTTAAGTTCATTATATCTTAAGCACACTACTATACTCATATTGTAAAATATATTAGCTAACAAACTCTACGGAGTTTTGCTATTATATATGTAGCTTAAGTTAATTATATCTTAAGCACACTACTATACTCATATTGTAAAAATATATTAGCTAACAAAACCCTACAGAGTTTTGTTATATATATGTAGCTTAAGTTAATTATATCTTAAGCTCAGTACTATACTCATATTATAAATATATATTAGCTAACAAACTCTACAGAGTTTGGCTATTATATATGTAGCTTAAGTTAATTATAGCTTAAGCACAGTACTATACTCATATTATAAAAATATATTAGCTAACAAACTCTACAGAGTTTGGCTATTATATATGTAGCTTAAGTTAATTATAGCTTAAGCACAGTACTATACTCATATTATAAAAAATATATTAGCTAACAAACTCTACAGAGTTTTTGCTATATATATGTAGCTAAAGCTTATTCATATCTTAAGCTCAGCATTATATCTATATCATATAAGTATATTAACTAACAAACTCTAAAGAGTTTGCTATTATATAATTAGCTTAAGTTTAATCATATCTTTAAGCTTAGTACTATGTTATATCTTAAAGTATTTTAGCTAACAAACGCTTAAGGAGTTTATACTAGCATATTAACAAGCTTAAGTCTATTAGTCTTAAGCATTGTATTAATGTTATATATACTTTATCATAATAAGTACATGGTAATAACCTTTTATATGGCAGCTGATAAGTTAGCAGCAGGAATTCATCAGTTCAGTGCCTTTATGAAGTTCCATAGGGTTATTACAATCATCACAGTTCAAATCACTAATTATATAAAAATCCAAAGTATTAGATATTCCCACCTCCGTTCATTAGGATGCTACAAGCAAAAGAGCATGAGTCAGGATAAGGAAAAAATATGTAATTTTGGAGTAAAATTGATATTTTATACTTATCCTGACTCATGAGGTCAGCCTCCCATCCTCCCAAATAACACTTTGGATTTCCCTGTAAATTCAAATGTTGGGCTCAGTATATGAGGAGAGAGTGAGGCACATGGGTAGAGGTGGCGCCCTCGTTCCCGAGCTTGTGGAAAGGAGGTAACTCGTGGTGAATACTAATTAGTGATTTTAAATTGAAGGGAGCTTCAATTAGGGAGATACAAGTGTTCCACTATGTTCGCAAGAAGAAGAAGACAAGCAAAAAGAGCATGAGTCAGGATAAGTATAAAATATCAATTTTACTCCAAAAATTACATATTTATCATCAAAAATCATTCTTCATTAGTTTTCAATGAAAAATGTACATATCTCAACACTGTACTACCATTAAATATGCAGCGATGTCATAGCAGTGAATCGTCAAGCAGCCATTGTACAAAATACACTCTCCATAAATAGTATTTGTAATCCTGTACAATGCATAAATAGTAAATCCATACAATGCATGAAACATAAATATAATATATCTTCTTCTTCTTCAATCTGTTATTGTTAACCACCATGATCATGCTTATTTTTTTGTTTACAGGAAAATGGGGAAATGGTTGCCATTAAGAAATTCAAAGACAGTGAAGGTATGTGTGGCAAGAGTTCACTGCATTTAGAGGTGTGATTGTTTGTGAAGCAAATTGACTGTGGCAATGGTAAATTCAAAACCAATATATTCTAGTTGTAATACCAAGACCCTAACCTCTCCCAATGCTAAACACCCCTACCCGAATCCTGGAAGACAAAATCTATGTATGTGAATAATATAATTGCACATCCAAGAAATGGACACTTATCCATATTGAGCATGTTTGGATCATATTACAAGTACAGTTCATAAATCTGTGAACCAAGAAAATAGGAGTGAATGAGTGAGCTTAGTTTTAAGCCACATTCAGGAATATTCCAGCTATATGGTGTGGTCTGTAAATAATTGAGTCTGGACCAGACAATCCACTGATCAACAGCATGAGCATCAATCTACGCAGTTGGGATACAATGACATGTGTCGACCAAGTAAGCGAGCCTGACCACCCGATACCATTAGTCACCTTTTACGACAAGCATGGGTTACTGAAGATCAGTTCTAACCCGGATCTTCATGGGTCGTAAATAAGAAAAGTTGACAGTAGCATGGTATAGTAAAGTGAAGAGAACCCTTTCAACTTCAACATGTAGAGATATATGAATTAGAAAAGCAAGAACTCAATAAGAAGTTGCCAAACATGTCAAATGTTTGTTGAGCTTGAAAGGTGTTCACTCTGATATATATAACACCTGTGATTGACAGGTGATCTGTAACAGCACTGTAACACATTCCATGTGACAATGAAACTCTGCAACATTCCTTCTCACTCTCAGTCCAATCCTTACCACACATTACTAAAGGCGGCAGATTTGGCAGCAGCACTTGATGGATTACTTAGTGAGTAGCATGCCTTCTGTTATTGCAACAAGCTGCAGTCAATGAATTATGTATTATGTCATACAGCTGCCAGTTACCAGGAACATGTTTGGGCAATATGAATGATAGTCCAACAAGGCCGATGGCTCAAGGCGAGATTTTAAAAATTCTACAGAAGTATTCTCATGATTTCAGTTGAAGTAAGACTGATTGGCCTAATTTTGTCTTATAATATGGTGTAATTAGGACAAAAGAAAAAGGACAACAGTCTATGGTGATCAAACATATTTGTCATGTTTGGCATTTTGAAGATTGACATTTTCCAAATAAAGCATAACAGTCAAAGGGGCCTGGTCTCTGCCCTTGTGTGAAACAGTTAGGGGACCAAGGTTCAGATTCCCCATAGTTTTGAACACTTATAATCTAAAACAATGGTTTTCATCAGGGTATTTATAGAAATATTTGAAAGTGTCCCTTTTTCAAATGTGAAGGAATTAGAATTTACAAAATTATTTAGCTATTTCTGATTTGTATTAGTTTCAGGTGAAGATTCAGGTTAGAATTAATCTTCAGCAGCGTTTGTACAATATCTTGAGAGGCTCACTGACTGGACTGAAGTATATCATTGTATCCTAATTGCATAGATCAATGTTCATCATATCAATTTGTGGATTATTTGATTTTCATGGACTGCTGGCATATAGCTGGAATATTGCTGAGTGCAGACAACAGACAAGCATGCAACTCTGCCATCAACACTATGTCATGATATCATGGCTGCCTGTAATTATCATTAAACATTATTGTTATCTAGATAAATTCGTATTCAAAGCTTCAGATTAATAGAGCCTTGTCCTACAAAATGGATCTTTGCCGTCTTAAGTCTATGATAAGTCAGACACTTGTCTGAAGAATTGTAAACTTTCTGTCCATGAAGCTAAGCTCCAAATCACCTATATGTTTAAGGTGTTAAATCTGTTTTAAACAGGTAAACAGATGAGCTTGGGCCAATCGACAATTTGTCAACATGGACCTCCTGGTATGGGAGTTAGTCCAAGTCACAACAGTCACATACCATGTGTAACATGGCTCTAGTGATGCAATGTTTAAATCTAGTCATGCTCTGCCTCCAACAGCAGCCCCCAAACTCACTTTACGGACCTAGTATGATTGGTATATAAACATACATAAACCCACATTGACATTTCCCTGATCTTTATCCCCTATACAAGTAAATAGACACACTTTGCAAATGTAAATGTTGAATTCAACTGCAGGTTAGTGAGAGTTTTGATTGACGTATTTGTGAAAGAGATTGTGAAAGTCATGCAGGTGTATTTACACAGGCGTGACACAAACCACAAACAAAGTATGCGATTGTCATAATCCGTCTTTATAGAGGTGGATAAGAAAAATAGAACCAGAAAGTGACGTTGACCCTTTCTTCCTACTTGTAGCAGCAATGGGCAATGTAATGTTGAGTTTTTGCTCTCCCTTTTGAATATCTTGTTAAGTGTGCAGGTGAGCCCAATAATGTAAGCCGAGTTGACAGCGATTAGAGGATTCTCATATCTGTGTTGCTTATGAGCGGAGACAAAATTGTTCTACTTGATAGGTTGGTGGTTGAGTAGTGAACAAACAGATCCTCTACTGAGAGTGTCTGTGGATGAAATCAGATGGCTTTGTGTGCTTGTGACTGACAGCTGTCCTGACGTATTATGTCGCGGTGACAGATATCGACATACATGTATGGATTTTTGGTCGTGTTGGATATAAATAAAAGAGTGCTTTTGATATGTTATTGATAGGAGTAGAATAGGATATGATGAAGTGCTCAGTTGTATGAATTAACAGTTGGAGTTCATTATACTGCCATGATTGTGATCAATATTTTATGATTTGTGTACAATATACTGAACCTTTTTTTAGGTATCTCAAAAAGAAAACAAACCATGGATATTCCCATTTTCTTTTACTGTTTAATTTACAGTTTAATACATAGGATATGTAAAGAGATATTTTGACTAAATGTTAACATGTTCACATGTATTGGTATCAGCTATATATGAAATTACATACTCTGAATTTTTAGCATTTTGGGGGTATTGTTTCGACTTGACCATATTAAATGTAGTGCCTTGATTAATGGCACATCAGCTAGTCTCCATGGCATAATGCCAGGCATTGGATTGTCTGGTCCAGATTTGATTATTAATGGGAAATACTTATCTAGCTGGAATATTGCAGAGTGTAGCATTTAATAACAAGCAAGCAAGTAAACAAACAATAATGGTGAACAGGATTTGACTGAATACTCAACCTTGTCTTAAACCACCCCTTTGTTTTGTTTTTGTTTGTGTGTTGCTTAATGCCACAATCAGTAATAATTGAGTTATATGACAGTGGATTGTAAAATAATCAAATCTGGGCCAGACAATCTGGGGATTAACATGCATCACCCTGTCATATTTCATACAGAGATGATGTGATATATAACTGAAACATTGTTTAAAATGGCATCAGTCCGAGTTCGTATTGCAGGACATTGACTGGAAGACCTTGTTCACTTACCTAAAATAGACAGTTACGTTAATAAATTGCTGTGACAACAGGTATAAGAATCCCCATTGAACCAGCAAAACATAAAACAGACAAGACTAAAATATTCGATCATATATTGAGCAAACAATGAGCAAGATACAATGAATCACAATACAGATTTCTAGTACAATGCAATTGAGTCACAAATCTAAAGTTTTGAGTCACAAATATAAAATATCAACTCACCACGAGCCTTGGTAATTACAGTGAGATCAGATATTCTAAATGCTTGTTTACAAATGAGAGCAGTCAGGGTCAGACTATGTTGACGAAGGCAAACAACGATGGTAGGCAACTCCAGTGACATGAAAAGTCCTGTGTCAGTCCGTGTGTCAGTCCGTGTGTCAGTCCGTGTGTGATTCCGTGAGGCACAACACAACAACCAGCCTTTATATATACTGACACAGAGTCTTGAACATTCTTTATCCACTGAGAACTTTCCCCAAATCTGTGGAAAACTCCACGACATGACGAAGTCAACACATAAACAACCGGTCAAGGGAGGTAACTCTGGAGCGCTATCCCAAATGGCGTGCCGCTAAAATACTATTGCCATTGAACATATATGACGCTAAATGAGACGAACAACCCACACTCAAAACTTCAAACACTGTGACTCACAACAACTATCACCCAACCAATGTTATCACAAATTACAAAAATCACACTCGTAACACAGTACCAAAGAATACTTCGATTAACTATGTCAAGGGCTATACGGTAAGTGAATCTACTTTGTTCAAGACAGGAAGATCATTTTATTTGTTCACGGATACAATTACCTGTCACCTGACAATTTTGACCATCTATCTGAATATACTAAAACTTATAGAAACTCAAGAAATAGTCCCCTATTCAGGGTTCGAAACTAAGGCACGTCCAAACGACATTGTCTAGTAAATAGCTGGTCCGGTCTAGTTAATATCGTGTCTGGCTCGCCCGACTGGTCGTGTAGATAGTTAATAAACGCTGTTTTAAATCACTGTATTTGTTTGTTTTGTTCTTAAACATCTTGCTATCTATCAGTATCAGCGTCATCTGTTATAATGAGTGCAATAGAGACTGTTGTTAAGCTTATTTAAGTGTAAAAGACTATAAAAGCTAGTCTTTAATTATAAACGTTCCTCAGAAAAATCAAAAGTTAATGTATACAGTTTTCATAATGGACAAAAGAAAACAACAATTATGACATAGTTTTGTGTTTAATATAGTTTGTTCTTCTAGTATGCACTATAAACCTGCTGATAACAAAAATAACCTTGTTTTGTCTTCCAGCAGTATGGTCTAGTTGATATTAAGTCAGGTCTGGTACATGTTAAGAGCCACTAGTCCACTGGTCTAGTAGTAAAAATGTTAAGTCGAACCCCGCCACTGAAAGTCTCTGTAAGTATGGTATGGTAAGTGTCAATATTCTGGCCAACGATTGCGTGGCAATATTCATAGAAACTTAGAAAGTTCAACCTCAGTGTACTGATATTCACAGTGGTATTGCCCTAGCGTGTGCGTCTTCACACATTTGAACGTGATACAAAGTGTGTTCTGTGTTCCATATATAACTTTAGGATTGCGTGTTCTACAACAACTAGACACCCGAAACCTACTACCCTGTTTGTCGTAATGGCTAATTATGCACGTTCAGAGTGTCAATAAACTGTTCAATTTTTCATGACTGATTTTTTTTTCGCATTGTTTTCATGATGGATATAAAAAGTATTGATTCATGTTTGAGTAGGGGCGTAATTGGTAATGATATGTTGCCAGGTAAATAAACACTGCATTGTACGGCGTGGTCTCAACTTGAAACTAATCTAAACAGCCACAGCCACTTCAGAAACAAAATGTTTGAAGTGGAATAATTGAGATAGATGGCCGGTCGACTCCTATAATGGTCTGTCCCCATTTGATATATGTTGTTGGGGATAATTGCAACCCCTTGTCACCCCGATTTGCCAGTCTAGGTCTGGTGTAAGTTATTTGGCCATCTAGCGATCAATAAAACATCTATCTGAATAGGGTGACAGACCATCGATTGGCGATAACACAGTCACAGGCAGTGACCATTGCAATCCAGTTGCCGAGTTCTGTTGCCAGTCAGATATGACTGTTTCCGATTGGCTTTTGTCAGATCAGAGTTTGGTGTTTGCTTGAGAAAGCTGAGTGAAAATCGATTACTTTGATACTGTTTGCCTGTCAGTTTGATGTTGGTATCAATAATTATTTATTATTGATATTTAAGGTTAGGTACAGTTAAGAGAGGTGATTCTGTTAGGTTGACTGGCGTTGTGGAGGGGATGCGTTAATCAATGCTGTCACTAGGTAGGAGGTCCTAATAAAGAAGTGGATTTTGAATTATTACCTAAATTGGGTGTTAGTAATTCATTATTTAATGTACAGGTACAATTGTTGATTCCTGAACATGTAATCAATCAGATTTATTGTCAGGATTCCATGCAAAGGATATGAAAAAGATTCATGTAAAAGTTTGTTTATTTTGTTAGTGCCGAAGAAAAATCTGTTTGGACATTTGCTGAGATGCAAGAAGGAAAATAATAAAAATGTAAAACTTTCCTGAGTTAGCTTTAGGGGTAATAATTAAACCATTTGTAAATTAGGACAGAATGGGCACCATGAATGGGGATCCCATGTTCAGAGAGCTTGTGTACACCATAACTTTAATATTAATGAACTTCATGAAACTTAGTATACATGATTTCTTAATCACTTCAATCTCTAAGGTCAAGGTCACTGATCGGGAAGAAGATACTGGAGAACAGACAGGATAGCTGTTATGTTACATGTTATAATTGTTTTGGGGGAAAATCAAATAACTAGTCAGTGGATATTCATTGTCACATCAAGTTTTGCCTGAGGCACTCTGAAAGGTTTGGTTTTTTTTATACGTCCAACCTTTAAGCTATACCAAAGGATAGCTTGCGATTAGGTGCCTGACTCTGAGGGTGTGCGTTCGAATCCCGGATGAGACTCAACCCAACGAAAGTACTCTAAGAATCTGTACTTTACAAAAAAATGTAATCCCAAATATAACATGTGTTACATTTGGCCACTTTCTAATTTATAGCATTGTGTATTCATATGCCAAAGACCGCCTCTGTGGTGTAGTGGCTAGAGCGTCCCCCGGAGAGCGGAAGGTTGTGGGTTCGATCCCCGACCGCGTCATACCAAAAGGCGTTAAAATATGGTACTTGTTGGTCCCTGCCTGGCGCTCGGCATTTATGGGTACAACAAGGACTGGTTGGCTCGGAGTCAGTTTAATGTGTCTGAGTGGGGTATTCATGCTTCACTGCGGCATGTATCTCAGTGGACTAGCACTATAAAACCAGCTTAAGTCTGGGCTAGTACAAGCAGCCGCACATAAACATACACACGCATGCACGTCGTCATATGAGTGAAATATTCTCAAGCATGACGTTAAACCCAATTTCACCTCACCCTCATATACCAAAGGATTCCAACCTACCACTCGAACACAGATATGTTCAACCAATAACCTGAAAATTATGGGTTGGATTTTTTTCAAATTTGGAGACCATCTTTGGAGAGGTGCAATGCAAATTTTGATGCATATTTGTCTTCTCACAAATTACAACCATTTAAGAATTTAAACTGAGGGGCCATTCATAATTTATGGCAGGGGAGTGGTGTGTGTGATGATTGATGATTATAAAGTGGGGGATTCGCCCAAGTTGTTCTGGGACTTAGGGGGGTCAATAATTTTGTACATAAAAATATTTAAAAATTATGGGAAGGGAGATAATTGATTTTGTACATAATATAGTGTATAGTGTGTTTCTGATTTTCTAATTTGTGAAAGAGAGGCATATTTTTAACTTAACAAAAGCGTTATTTTTGTTAATAAATAACTTGGAACTAAACACATTTTAATGTATTGTTTTCAAATTTAGGAATCACCCTCCATATCTAAAAGAGAAGTATAGTGCAAAGTTATATTTTGATATTTTCAATTTCTTGAACTCAGGGGAAAAATCCCACATCAAATCGGTTGAACCAATAAATTTAATGGATTGTTTTTAGGCTTGGGTAGTGGCTTCTTTGTTTATAAGAAAGGTGTAATGCAAAGTTTGATACAGATTTTGTATTTATGTAAAAAGTAATCATCATTAATTATTGTTCAGTTAAAGTTTGTAGTTGTGGGTATTAGTGAACTTTGCTCACGTTTTTTTTCAATAACTTTTATTAGTAATGGCATCTCTTGTATTTTTACTGACTAATTCCTTTGATGTCTCAAATCTTAAAACATGCAGAAGAGGCTAAAACTTTGGTGTTTCAGAAACATTATAATTGAGTAACTGTTAAATGAAGCTTGGGGCTACTTGTGACATCTGGCATTCTTCCTACACCTGATTGTCGTTTTTTCTCTTCTGTTCCAGAAAACGAGGATGTGAAACGTACAACTTTGCGTGAGCTGAAAATGCTCCGCACGCTAAAACAGGAGAATATTGTAGAGCTCAGGGAAGCATTCCGACGCAAGGGAAAGCTGTACTTAGTCTTGAATATGTGGAAAGGGTGAGTACCATGATCGTGTATTGACTAAACTACATGAAACAGAATAAATATACTATACTAGGCCTACTTGGTAGAACTACTTGATTTATACTGTGATCTTACCCAAACAACACATTAACATGTGGGGAAGTAGTAAATCTAATGAGATTTATTACCTGATTGCAGCAGTCTGACAGCAAGTTTTGAGTCACAGAATTACATATGTCATGGGTTATGTGGAAGTACATGTATAGCAGTTACCATGGTGTTGACGATCATAGTGCTGTGATCTCTCACTAAACTGATGCTAGAAACTACTATATTTAAGATGACCTTGGAACAAGGATGGTGGCCTAATGATCAGTTCTCTGTAGAGCTGCATCCAATTGGAATGATGTGTGAGTGTAGTGGTTTGTGGTCCTGTGTGGTCCTGTGCGGTCCTGTGCAGTCCTGTGCAGTGCTGTGCAGTGCTGTGTAATGAGTACAGAGTTACAAGTCACAAATCAGTTGAAGTTAAGTAATGCTGGTCGCAGAGAGTCCTTAGATGGATGACCACATTTGGCAGCTTGTCTCCTGAGAGTTTCTTGGACTTTAGTCCTGCCCCACAGCAAAACACATGTGCAGAGATGCCAACCCTCATGGCTTATGGCGTAATTATTACGATTTTGACCATTAAATTGCGCCATTACACTTAATGTACGAAAATTACGCTTTTCTACTCGTTTTGCGAAAATCAATAAAGTGGATAAAATTTCACAGGAATTTTTTTCATAATGCACTAGTGCAGGGCTTCAGAAATGGCCTTACACCGATAGGAATTGCTTACTCTTAGCATTGTGCTCATTCCAATTAACTTGTAAGGAATTAAAGTATTTTGTCTCACCTGACCAACAATTTTCGATGTATGGAACTTCATAATGATTGGTCACATGTATTTCTGTCTAGAATCTTTCCTATTCAGTGAATAAACCTTTTTAAAGTAATTTTTATAAAGTTATCACCTTTCACTAAGAAAGTGTTTAAGTATTACACTTTTTAGGTCCAAATTACACTTTTTAACCTCCAGTATTACACTTAGGCCCAAAATAGGGTTGGCATCTCTGCATGTGGTCTCACCTTAAGCAAGTGTCTTTGTTCAAAATTACCGGTACCTCTGTTCTCCCAGCTGAAAATGGGTACCCAGTGGGATGAGATGGTCATATGACTGTAAACCTTCTAGCACCTCACAGGCAGCTTGGGTTGTAATGCACATTGATCCATTGACTGGGTAATAATGTTAGCGCTTTGAGCATACACCTTGTGTATAGAAATTAGCGGTATAAGTACGCACATTATCGCGTGATTATGGGCTTCATCAAAGTGGTAAATGTCAGAGACATTTATCACATTGGTTGTCTTCCCATGTCCAGCTGACACACCATGTTATAACTGAAATACTGTTCAAAGTAAATATGGTACAGTCATCCCTTGACGTAACTCTGACATAACTATCCCAGAAAGGAAAATTTTGTTGTCTAACATGTGTCTGTGCTTGATAAACTGTAATGTGCAGTTCATTTTCTTTATCTGTGGGTACTTGTGAAGGTCCAGGTTAGAATATTGATCTTCAGTAACCCATGCTTGTTGTAAGAGGTGATTAACGGGATCAGGCTAGTCAGGCTCACTGACTTGGTTGACACATCTCATTGTGTCCCAGTTGGGTAGATCGATGCTCATGCTGTTGATCAGTGGATTGTCTGGTCCAGACTTGATTATTTACAGACCACACCATATAGGGTTAAAATGCCCTATATGCCATTTAAAGAAGTTACACACCATATACTGTATTTCCTCTAATAAGCGCCCTTGGCGCTTATTTTTCAACGGACCTCCAGACCCAGCGCTTATTAGAGGCCCAGCGCTTATTAAAATACCCTGTATTTTTAAAAGCGGGGATGAGTACATGAAGTTATGATTTAAGGGACCATTTCTTAATATATTTATTTTTAGACCAAGGGAGAATACATTTGCGAAAAAATGCAAAGGTCTATACCTGGCGCTTATTAGAGACCCGACGCTTATTAGAGACGCGGCGCTTATTAGAGGCCCGGCGCTCATTTCTTAAGCACTGCTTTATGCCTGGCGGTTATTAGAGGCCCGGTGCTTAATAGAGGAAATACGGTAACTGGAATATTGCTGAGTGCGGCGTAAAACTAAACTCACTCACTCACTCTTTATCTGTGGGGGCAGTGGGGTTGCCTAGTGGTTAAAGCTGCGTAAAACCATACTCACTCACTCTTTATCTGTGTTGGCATATAGCGTTTCCCCAGTCAAAGATTAGTGTTGATCTGTAGAACATGCTACTGCCCTTTACTAGCAACTGAGTCAATATTTGACCAATGTCAGTGAGATATATATGTGATATATGCCCATGACAGCTGAATCATAGAAAGTCAACAATCTGAGAAAAATATAAATAAATAACAGTAGCACACACGACTTGAGTCCGTGATAGATTATTGGCAGGTATTGAGTCCCATATCATGTCAGTGAACCCATCTACCAGTGCAAGTCTAACGGATTCTTGCCTTAACACAGATGTGGGTAACAGGGCCTTCTCTTGTGTGTGCTTAGTGAACCATGCAGTAGAAGTGGGTATTAATCATTGTCAGGAATATCCACATTGTGTCCTCCCTTTACATTCCATACTGTACCACAATACCAGGCTAATATTAGCTATTTGATTTACCTCCCATTAATCAAACTGCAATAGGGGTGAAGGGATCAGGGTTTTGGTGAACACGCTGCGAGTTGGCTTGCATTACTTGAATAATAATCAGTAGTCTCTGAGGTGTGTGGTATGCAAGTAGTGGGCTTGTCTGGACATGCGTTATGGGTGGGGTGGGCTCCGATCATTGGTTTAGTGCTTCTAGATCCTTGTACAAAGGGCTCCTGATCTGTTGGTAGTCATTTGGAATGTGAGGCCTTTGTCTGTACTAGGAAGTGAAGAATATGATATGCTGATAAGGGTTGTGCTAGGGTTCAGTAGGCATTGTGTGTTGTATACTGTATGGTGGTAGAAATCATGTCTGTTGTTGTACATGGAAGAACTGAGTGAAATTTGTCGGTCAGAAAAATCTGTCCCGAAACAAGTCTACTCTGACAAAACCTTCTCTTGGCATTACTTCTGTAATATGTGAACTAATTTCAGGGTTAAATATTACTTTTATGCCACCTGTTCACTAGTTATATATAACCCTTGCCATCTACATATTGGCTATAATGGCAGTCCACAATGAAATTGGTCTGTTCTGAATTTTACTATTCTCAGACAAGCAAATTTATGTTAATTTCAAAGCTTGCAAATATTTTCTGAGAGTAATAGACCCGAACAATTTGACTGCAGTTAAGCAGCTAGTCTGATGGTTGGTATGATGCTTGGTTTATGATCAGGTGTCTGACACTTGCCCATATGTTGACCATACTAAATTTAGTGAACCGCCTCCATGGTGTAGTGTTTAGAGCGTCCGTATAATGTTTCTGAGTGGGGTATTCATGCTTCACTGCGGCATGGTATCTCAGTGGACTAGCACTATAAAACCAGCTTCAATCTGGGCTAGTACAAGCAGCAGCACATAAACATATAAACGCATGCACGTCGTCATATGAGCGAAATATTCTCAAGCACAACATTAAACCCAATTTCACCTCACTTCACCTCACTAAATTTAGTGAAAACGAAGCAGATACAAGTTCAGGCTAGCAGAATCAAAGCGTTCAACACTGACTTGAAAAGGAAGTTTGGTGGTTACGATTACATAGCTGACTGGGTGCCGTCATACTCTGGTGGATCAATTGTTGTAGGTTCTGTTGACAAAGTGTTTGTCAAGTCCAGATGGAATTAGTTACGTTGTTTGTGTTGTTGTGATGTACTGTTGCTCATGTTGCTGTGATGCTTCGTCACTGTTGCATAACCCAACTTGACTCCCTCATGCTAGAGTGACTGTTATCAGTGATTTCCATCGTTGCATGGATGATGGTGATGACAGTGTATGTGCATGATGAATGTGATTCATCCTGAGTATCATTTAGTTGGAAGGACACAGAGACTGTCTCTGTGGATGAGTGAGTGAGTTTAGTTTTACGACGCTTTTAGTAATATTCCAATAATATCATGGTGGGGGACACCTGAGAAATAGGCTTCACACATTGTGCCACGTGGGGAATCGAACCCAGGTTTTTCAGCGAGACAAGCGAATGCTTCAACCACTAGGCCCCCTCTGTGGATAAATGAAGAACGCGGCGATGGACATGGAACATTTTGTTGGGCAATGAGCAGCGATCAAATACTCTAAATACAGGAAGCAAATAAGTTTGTACCATTGAATGAGGGATTATATGTTTGAGACAGATAAAATTATATGTGTAATTGGTCCCATTAGATGATTCTTTAGCATGTTTAAAAGGCCTCCTTTAAAGCTTAATAGAGGAACGTAACTCTTTCTGACTGAACCCAGTGACCAAGTTTACAATGATGCAACTTCTGTCACCTGTGTGAAATTGCAGAAAGCGGTGTAAAACTATATTCGCTGTTATTTCCATGCTAGAAAATTGCACCGCCTTCCACCTTTTGCCACAGCACCCCAGAACACCATACACCCGCATGCACACGTGCATGCATGCACATACGCACATACAGAGTTTTTCAAGTTAACAGCCTAGTTTTGTTAACTTGTCATATTTGGTTGCCCAGTGTCAATCAGCCTGTGCACTGTTTGTCCACCTGTGGGCCTTTACATTCATCCAACTATAATTGTACATTTCCTATGTCTTTGAAGGATACAGAAATTTTTATGTCATGTTGTAGGTTCAATTTTCTATAACCTGTTTTTACATGGCCATGTTTATACTTTCATTATGTCATGTATGATCCCATGTCAATTTTCCAGGGCAGTTCAGTTGAGCTACAGTACCCTATTTTGTTGTTATATCTGTAAGTTGAACAACACATCAGTCTCCAACATCTCTGTGAGAGTAGGCTCAGACAACTCTCATACCTATACTCATATAAGGTGATGGGATGTTTCCTACATGGTCTGACATATTTGTATAGTCTCAAGCAGTCAGTCATGTACACTGTGCTCTGTGTTACAGAACATGTTGGAGCTGCTGGAGGAGATGCCCAACGGAGTTCCGCTGGAGAAAGTGCGGAGCTACATCTACCAACTGTGTAATGCCATACAGTGGTGCCACTCCAATGAAATCATACATAGAGGTACCTGAAGCATACATTGACGTCATATTAAGGCCAGGGCCCCGTTCCTCAAAGCGATGTCACAGTAAAGGCCATGCTTAACATAGACGACTGTCATAGAGCTTTACGGGCCTTGAATTTATTGTATTATTTCAATTAAAATTTAAAATTCAATTATAAAATATAATTTTAATATAAAAAAATAATGCTCACTTATTTAAAAAAGTATAATTTAAAATATATATGTTATTTTGTATTTTGCAATTTATTATTCTTTATTTTACATTTTAATATTTTCTGTGTTATGATTGATTTAAATTTTCCTTCATTCTGAAAATGTCAACTATGTCATCGGTAATGTTAAAGTAAACATGACATAGTCATGATCAGGTAGAATAAGTAGGTTTCCTTTTTGAGTGAACTGACTTGGAAGTAATCCTTGGTTGAGGAAATCAATACATATGCATTATGGGTTCTGTTGGTAAATCTACCAGCACGTAGCATTCAACGTTTCCACCCAGATCTTATATACATACGACCAGTTGTGAAACACCGTCACCTTCAATGTACTTGGGCCATTCAATATGGTCCATATCTCGTCAATCACTGTCGCTTGTTTTTGTACAGAGCTGAAGAGAAACCAAACGAGGCCAAGTTGTTTGGCTATACAATGGCATTGTTAGTGTATCGTGAAGTCAAGTAACCGCAAGCAATGTCTATTACTTAATACCCAATACAAGCTTAGCTTGTAGAAGTGTGTTAGCAGATTCTGTCTTGACCAAGGAGTTAGTTGTTGAAGTCAGAGTGCTGCATGCTAGATTAATTGCAGCCTTCCCAGGCATACAATCAAGGGGATATTTGTCGTAATGAAAGCGCCGAGCCAGTGGACTGGAGTGTTTTATTGGGTATTTGGGACGTGGAACAGATTAATCTTGTGGTGGTTGAGTCATGAAGAAATAAGCTGATATGTGGTTGTTATACAGCAGTGGAGGTGTTTTTGATGTTGGTTGATATTGGAGTGTGAGGAAATTGATTAGGAACTAATACTGGCTATATGTTGTCGTACAAGTTAAGATCTTACCGATTTAGAATTTTAGTATTGGGGTATAAATCGGTGGAGGAATTGCAGTGTTCTTTCAGTTTTAGCAGCACATGTCATTCATGTGTTGCTGTTCCAAAGGTACAAATTATTATATATTATATTTAGTTGGAGAAGTATGTTCCCTAAATGAAGGGGTGGTGGGGGTAGCCTAGTGGTTAAAGAGTTTGCTCGTTACGCTAAAGACCGGGTTCAATTCCCTACATGGGTACAATGTATGAAGCCCATTTCTGGTGTCCCCTGCCATGATATTGCTGGAATATTGCAGAAAGTGGCATAAAACCCAAACTCACTCACTATTAATGAAGAAAATATACCTGGATTAGAAAGTGAAAAGTTGCACTCTTAGAAGCAGTTATGTCATTATGGATAATGGTTTGTTAGAACAAATCCCTTAAAAAATGTATCATTTGGACCTTGAATTGAACTGAAGGAAACAGACTCTACATATACTGACATCTTTGGGCACAAAGATGTACTGTCATTGGTTACAGGGGCAAATAGACCTGTTCGAGGATGATATGCAATAAATGGTTTAGAAATAAAGTAAGAAGTAGCTCAGTGGTTAGATATGTTGTGTGATTTGTATATTCTGACTATTTGACATTCATGTGGTGTCAGTAGGTAGTAGTATTGGCACAAATTGATGAGAATAACGTTAGTCATTGTATAAACATTTGATAATATTTGCCTCCGTCCACTTGAGTACAGGCATAATAATAATAATAATGTGTCCATTTATATAGGGCCAAACTCCACACTAGGTATGCCCATAGAGCTAACAATCAAGGCACAGCACATTATTACCCCGGATAACCCAAGCTGCCTGTTAGGCGCTAGAAGGTTATAGTCATATGACTTTTTCCACCGGGTACCCATTTTCCTGCTTGGTGAACAGAGACAATTTTGAACAAACTCACTTGCCTAAGGTGAGACCACATGTGTCACATGCGTTTCGTTGTGGGGCAGGACTCAAGTCCTAGAAACATCATACAATTTATTAATTCCATAAACATGTTTTTATGGGAATTTTATATTTTATGTAACAATACATGAGTTATTGGTATCAGGAATAAAGTAGCTATAAGTCTTTTTCTTTTTTTATGTAAATAGTGTAGTGTAGTTGAGTGGTTAGATTTTGCATGACAAATGTCAGAGTTCAAAGTTTCGGTAGGGTTCTGTTTGAAATGTCATACTTGGAGTGATATAGCTCATAATTGGTTTGATATCTTTAAGAGCAGCTCAAGAACATTACTCACTCATTTAATTGCAGATATCAAACCTGAAAACCTCTTGATAGGCAAAAATGATGTCCTCAAGTTGTGTGACTTTGGTAAGTATGACTCATTCTAGATGTAGTTTAAAGAGAACATGACGTAATGTATATTAACATATCGTTACTGACTGACAACAGCAAACATTATCAAAGCTGGTAGAAACGTCAGATTGAAGGAGAATGAGGTATATGTAAATTAATACCTTAATGAAATTTCCCCAGTAGATCATTTGGGCTAAAAATTTCCTTGAGAAAATGTTTTACTCAGCAGACCTGCAATCTAAAATTATCATTTCACCAAATGTCTACACTACACCTACTTTTCCTTGGTCAGTAAGGATCAAGGAACTGCTGGCGATAAAAGGAAAAAATGCCCTGGAAATTGGCATTAAATAAGCTTTTTTCATGCATTAGATTAAACAACTGAACTTGTTATTATGTGTTCTAAATTCAGTTGTCCATGTTATTATGTGTTCTAAATTCAGTTGTCCAAATATGAAGTCAGCTTTTAGTTAGGAAAGGGCCATACCCTACTATGGCTCACATATGACTTGTGGCAGTGTGAACGTTTGTGTTTCAGGGTTTGCCCGGACTATTACTGGTGGCACCAGTGGCTTGTATACAGACTACGTGGCCACACGGTGGTACCGGTCACCGGAACTGCTGCTAGGGTAAGTCAGTGAGCTAAATAGGATGTCTCATATCAAATGAGTCCAAATCTACCAGCCTCTTGCAAATGATATGTTATTTATTTACATTTTCTATCTGTCATTTCTATCTGGTTATCTTATAAGTATAAATATAGGTCAGTCATGCTCCATGCAGTTCTATGTAGGATACCTATGCTGTATGTGGGATAAACCTGTGAAGGTCTGGGTTTGAATATTGATCTTCAGTAACCCATGCTTGTCGTAAGAGGCGACTAACGGGATCGGGTGGTCAGGCTCTCTGACTTGGTTGGCACATGTCATCGGTTCCCACTTGCGTTGATATATGCTCATGCTGTTGATCACTAAATTGTCTGGTCCAGACTCGATTATTTACAGACTGCTGCCATAAAGCTGGAATATTGCTGAGTGCGGCGTAAAACTAAACTCACTCACTCACTATGTGGGATATCTATGTTTAATGCAGGACATCTACGTTCAATACAGATGTATGCTCCATAGGCTGATGCAGGAGGGGATCCCCTTGTCCTGAAAGTTTATTAAATGACCATTGAAACTCGGGTAAAAATGAAATGTGCACCCTCCCTTTTCTCAATAGTGTGCACACACTCCACAAAAACCCCCCAAAACCCCACCCCTTCTAAAAAGCTGTATCCGCCCCTGTGCTCTATGTAGGAAATCTCTGCTCCAAGTAGGACATCTGTACTCAGTGAAGGACATCTATATTCGATACAGATGTATGCTCTATGTAGGATACCATGCTCTATTTGGGATATCTGCTCAATGCAGGTCAGCTATGCTTTAAACAGATGTATGCTTTATGTAGAACATCTATGCTTTATGTGGGAGATCTGTGTTCAGTGCAGTATGTCTATGGTCCATGCAGATCTATGTTCTATGTGGGACATCTGTTCTCAGTGGAGACCATCTATGCTCTGTACAGAACGTTAGTGTCTACGTTTCAGAGCTGCCTATGGCAAGGCGGTGGACATCTGGGCTATTGGCTGTATCCTGGGTGAGCTGAGTGACGGTCAGCCTCTGTTCCCTGGCGAAAGTGAGATTGACCAGCTGTTTGTCATACAGAAAGTCATAGGGCCACTGCCGCCCGACCAGATGAACATGTTCTACAAGAACCCCAGATTCTCAGGGCTCAAGGTAGGAACAGGAATGTCTCTCTGACCAAGATGTGATCTTTACATTCACGGCAGAATCTCCTGGCTGTTGGAAACTTATACTAGAAGATGATGCCTAACAATGATTTTTGGTTCATAAATGCTTTTGACGTCTTAAGTTAAAGCAATTATATGAATGACTAAGTTAACTTCTGCATGTATCAATGCCCCTTTGCGGAGCCAGAATAGAATACGACCTCAGCACTCTGTTGTTTGCAGCCCTAAGCGACCTAATTGGGTCAATTAATGTGATTTGAAATGAACAAACTGTATGTGTTACTGAATCTAATGTGTGCGTGCATTGATTTCAGAAGTAGTTATTATGAAATACCAAGGTCTGTATTTATGATAATGTTATCATTTGTGTTTGTAGTTTCCAGCTGTAGCAAGTCCTCAAACACTCACCAAACGGTATATGGGAATCTTGAACAGTGTCCTCATAGACTTCATGCAAGTAAGCAACTGTGCAGAATGATTGCCAAATCTGAACAAGACGAGAATATCAGACTGCATTATGAGAGTGATACATAAGCCTTTCATTCCACCATAAATTTTAATTGTGTAACATGAATTTAAATAAAGACCCAGTTTTCCAAATCTCAAAGATCAGTGGGTTTGTGCAGTGCTTATTTATGCAGTTAACTGTCAGTTAAAATTTGCTTACTTTCTTATCAGTATTCAAGAAGTTTCTGTGTCTTTGTATGAGGTTTCCTTGAATATTCCTTGTGCGTTCCTCCAGCGAACACTGCAGCTTGACCCGCTGGACAGATCTCCCATTGAGGATTGTCTCCGTCATGAAGCGTTCATCACAGAACAGCTGCTGCATCGCAACAATCACGTCTCCATCAAAAACTATACCTCAAACAAGAAGCGGAAAACGGATAACACTGATGACATTAATAGGTAAAAATAAGTTCAGCTAGTCAACCATATGTCCTGTGTAGTTAAAGATGATGTGAGTAAGGTTTTAATAGACGTATAAATGCTTTGAGAGGACAGCACTATTTTTGGTTGATTGATTGAGCAGATGAAACGGGTAATGTTTTGACATTGTTTTCTGGTTGTGAAGCTGATTGCGCACAGGTGTTCCTCATCAGATCTGGGCAGTGTCATCCACTGCCTGGTGCAGAGTCGTGGTTTATAGGTGGACGCGAAAGTGTATTAACATTGCTGCCTGTAGCGTAAACCAACACTAATGTGACCCAACGCTAACTAAGATTCAGAACCTATTGGGGATTTCACTGATGAATAGGTCCCGAGGAACGTTTGCAGGTAGAAAGAGGCAATGAAATGGATCAGGTGGTCAGACTTGGTTGGTGCATTTTATCATATCCCAATTATGTAGATGAATGCTCATGATGTCAATCACTGGACAGTCCAGTCCAGACTTGATTATTTACAGACTGATGTCATATAGCTGTAATATTGCTGAGTGCGGTGTTAGAACAAGACACACTCTCATATATATGTTTATTTGGCTTTGATCACTGTATTCTTTATGAAACTTTTTTGGTGTAGCTATAGCAAATTACTGTTGCTGTTTGATGACACAGTCTCTGTCTGTACAGTGAGAACATGAAGAATACGAACCGTCCTGGCACAGGGGCCGGGCAGGAGAACCGGGTATTTGAAGCAGAGAAGATGGACACAGATGAAGAGAAGAGCTATGTGATCCAGGGGACCTCTTCTTCCACTGGAGACATGAAGTTCTTGAAGCAGGTGCGCAACCAGTCCACTGCCAACTCCACCAACAAAACGAGTGTGGTGCTACGTCAGGTGAAAGGTCAGCAGCAAGGGGAGGATGAGGATGAGGACTGTGGTGAGGGAGGCAGTGCCCGGCAACAGAACCGGGCAGTAAGCAGAACAGAGATTACCATAATGGATGCTGATCCCAAGCTGGGTAACAAATACCCCGAATCGAAGAAGTCCACGTTTGACAATCGCCATCAAAGTACATTTCAGGATTTTCGTAATGGAAACCTTTTGGAGTTCAATGCAAACTCTTCTAAGAATCGAACTCAAGGGCAACAAGAATCAAGTGCTATGCAGTCATCAAATGATGACAAGATGGATTGGACAGTGAGTGACTCGAGGTATATGAAAAAGAGAGATAGTGTGATGGACGTGCACCAGCATGACCCCCAGGGATGGGGAGGAGGAGGAGTTTGAGTCCTCACCCCGGGGAAAGAGCAATACCTTTACCATTAGTCTTCAGGCCCCTGGGCAGGGCCAGCCCACCGGTGGAGGTGGTGTGGGGGGTTACCCCACAGGTGGAGTTGGGGGGAAGGGCAGCAGTAACGCTGCCAGTCCGCGCATGGACAGGAAGAAGGTGAGACGACGCACATCACGAAGCAGCACCCAGGTACATCACAGCAGGTTGCTTGTTACACTGGTGATGGGGTAGTTGGAGCTGCTTGTTTCACTGCTTGTGGGGTAGATCCAGTTGTAGTTGTAGGTGCAGTAGTTGTTGTAGTTGTAGTTGCTGTTGCATTTGGAGCATTAGATGTATGTTTGTTTCCATGGTGTCTTTCTGTGTCAAGTTTTAATTCATGCTAATGGTGCTTTTATCCTATAAGCATGACAGGGGCAGTGGAGTAGCCTAGTGGTTAAAGCATTTGCTTTCGTCTCGCCAAAGACCTGGGTTTGATTCTCCACATGGGTACAGTGTGTGAAGCCCAATTCTGGTGTCCCCTGCTGTGATATATCTGTAATGTTGCTAAAAGCGGCGTAAAACTAAACTCACTCACTATAAGCATGACAAGAGAACTGTAAATGTCCTATGCTAGTGTTACCTGAACATGCTCGAGTTGATTGACATGTTAGGTTCACAGCAGAAGCTTCCAATAATCACGTATATCATGCTCCTAACAAACTTAGAGGTACACCTAACTTTGTGAGAAGAGTTAATCCTGTTATGGAATTGAACTGGGTGGCTAGGTGTTGTCATTTGCTGATTATAAATGAGGTGGTGTTATTGAATTCCAAAGGTACCAGTAGAGGGTGGCACCTACATTAATGTGAAGCATTCATTTCATGATTTACAGTAACCTCTTTTAATGGTTTGTGGGATGTTTGGATATTTCAATTATGAAAAAACATTTCTACAAACAATTGCAAAAAATGTATCTACAAGCTGTATTTACATTGTGCATTTGCTTTTAGTTCAACGCTATATGAATAGCCACCCATCTTCCAACATCTCTATCATCTTGGGTGCACACACACACACACATCCCATACTCCTCACAGTGACACCTCATTCATGACATAATCGGTCAAATGCGACGTGAGTTGGGGTAGAGTTTGGTATTAATATCACCCAGATCTATCCACTGAGACATCTTAGACTGCCAATGTTGGGAGTGCTATTTTGTCAAGCCCTCTCCATGCTTGTCGTAAGAGGCGACTAATGGGATCGTGTAGTCAGGCTCGCTGACTTGGTTGACACATGTCATATTTTGATGCGCATGCTGTTGATCACTGGATTGTCTGGTCCTGACTCAATTATTTACAGACCGCCGTCATATAGCTGGAATATTGCTGAGTGCGGCTTAAAACGAAACTCCCCCACTCACTGTAGCCCTCTCATTATCTGTAGACATCGAGGCAGCCTCCAACAAGGATTCAGCTTAGCACTAGCCTGCAAGCAGGAGTCAGTCTGTTATGGGTATTCAAATAGCTGGGAGAATTAAAGGGGTTTATAGGAATGCCCTTATATGGTCATACATTAGGTAAGACTATCAAGGTTAAGTGTCCTCACAGCTCAGTTGTATATCCAAGCACAGCTTTAATGTTTAAATGTGTGTATATACTGATATTGTGTAGAGGTGTGGGGGTTACCTAATATACAATTTCAAATACTAATGAATGTGTTTAACAATATGTTTTGAAAATACTGGTATGGTTTTATGAATTGATCACATATCTATTTTGGGGGTCAGTCTGATGTATGGGTTCATTTTCAAATTATTTGGGTAATATTTAGTTAGTTCACAGTGATTTATGATGAAAGAATGCAATAAATTGTGGCATGCATTGCAATATGTGAATCATTATTGCATTATACTGCAGTATGAAAGTCAGGCTTGTAGTACTCATCTCTACTAATCATGCTAATATGTACTGCATGTAGCTTTGCAAACACTAACACTAATTTGTCACTTGAAATGATTGTGTTACTCTGTTTATATCATGCTTTTCTACAGATGCTCTTATTTTTCAAAGTACACAAATCAGTGATTTATGGAAAACGTACAGATTTCATAAATGGAAATGTTGGCAAAATACTTTTTGCTAAAGATTTTCTATTCAAAGAAAAAAATCTACTGATTGGAGAGTTTGGAATAATAATAAATTTCTGATAACTACCATTTTGCTCCAAATTTGTTTTCCAGTGGTATGTTAATAGGCATGAAACCTCATTCTCTCATTTACTTGTAATGTTCAGTTCTTGGACCAGGCCATGCAGGATGAGCTTCAGAGAATAAAGAATGATACTCTTGGCAAGAAGAAGATGAGGGATGGGGGTGTCCCCATTCACAACCTCACAGAGAAGCTGTCATATGCCAAGGTAAGTCACAGACAGTGGAATTAATTCTACCTTTGAAACCAGGAAAATATTAAGTGAGAACATCTCTTGCTATAGCATTTAACCAGGACATGATCATATTGATAAAACAGTCATATGTTCTTGTTAAGGACATTGTCTGTGTTAAGGCATGCATGTTGTGATTGCCGAGCTCCAGGATGGATTTTGTTGAACTAGGTCCCAATCCACAAAGGGTTGGTGACATTGTGACATATCCTATCTTCATACTTTATCATAGGCTTATGATAGTGCTATGAATGTTTTGTGGATTGGGGACCTGGAAGCCAATATTACAGTAATTCTTCAAAGGCATTTAGAAGGTTGTGTAGTAATACAAGACAAATCTTATGGATAACAACTTCTTGGTTTATTTATTATTCTTTTATTCAGGTGAATAAAGGGGCACCTGAAGAAGGCAAGCCATAGCCCAGAAACGTTGTGAAAAATAAACCAAAAAGTGGTTATCCATAACATTTGTCTTGTATTAATATTACAGTAATTAATTACTCACATCATTGCATTACTTGACTGAGTCAGTTTGAAATTTGTATTTCCTCCTGAATTTTCATCTGTACATAAAATTTCAAACAGTCTCAGGCAACCAATGCAGTGATGTTGCAAGTCGAAGGTTGCATCTGTGGCAAATGATGAGAAGTATATGCCAGGATTCCGTGTCCAAGGTCGATGATGTATCATTGGATGGCAGCTGGCATGATAGTTTGTCATGCTATCAAACATTGGTTGTCCTGACCTCATCTTCAATATTTCCAGGCGGGTGATATTTAATCCTGGAATAATGCAGACTACATCCTCAACATACACCTACTCACACGTAACTTGTATCTTACAACAATGATGCTACTGAATGTTTCTTTGTGGGTGTGCACCTTTCATTATCTTAGGAATCTGAAATATTGTTTGTAATTCCCCCATTCACTGACTGTCTTTGTACCATGTATCATCTTTGTACCATGTATCATCTTTGTACCATGTATCATCTGTACCCACAGCTGCAGCCGGGCATGGACCCTGCATCCGCTGCCGCCACCAATACCAAGTTCAAGGACTCTCACAACTATGGCGGTGCCCCACGCCGGACACGGAACCAGTATTATGGTGAGTTGCCCCATCACGCCATCACAGACGTCCACATACTCCAACCGCAGTGTGTCTCAGCTCCTGTGGAAACCATTATTCACATTCTCACTTTAGTTTAGTTGGGATTCACACTTGAATAGATTCACACGTTACTTAGTAATGACAGTTCATGATTTCAGAATTATATTCTGAAAAATATTTCTTGAGATTTGATTGGCTAACCATGCAATCTTTTGTGTGAGTATGTTTCCACCAAAAGAATATTAGATCACAGGGACTTTTTTTCTTGATTGGTTGGTAACAGCATGGTAAGGGCTTGTGATGTGTTATTGAGCAACGTCGCCCATTTACACAGTGTACACACAAATTTATCTCAGTTCCGTAATATTTCAGTTGATACTATGTCAACTTGATTTCAGTGGATTTGATATTATTTTTCACCTTTCCATTACAAAATATTCCAGGAGGCTGTGTAAATTTGATTAGTTTCGTTAGATTAGTTAGTATTGAGGATTTCCAAAAATATTAAAGCTGATAAGGGTTGAAAAAATTGTTTGGCACCAAATACAAGAAACAGGAATTAGACTTTGGGTATAAAACAAAAGTTAAGTTCAGCTGTCCATAAAAGGTTGAAAAGAAATGTAACAGCTGTCAAAATATAGGTTGGTTAGCAATATGTTTATGAAATATTTATCGGAATATTAATATTATAGATTGAGAATTCAGAGACTGATAAGGGTTGAAGAATTTGAAAGGCACCAAGTATGACAAATATAAGGGAACTTGAAGTTAAAGAATGTGGGGGTAAAACTAGTTACCAAGGTTGTAACTACAAACCCGCATTATTGTAGTTAAGTTGACCTGTCAACAAAAGGCTGAAAGAAATAATTACAGAAATTTTGTGTACTGACAAAATATGATGCAAACCAGTCTGTAAATTATGGGGAATACTTGGTTCCAAATATTCCAATTCATGACGTTCGTGTAGCTTGGTATCGATTTGGGTTTGCTGAAGTTGGTATTGAGTGCCAAATGTGTGTTTTGTCAGATTCAGGCTATGACATACATGAAGCAAGCACATCACCAGGTAATGTAGACGTTAGAGCAGCTTCCTGTTGGGTCCGCCAGGGGACCGTCTCTGTCAACAGGAAACATGGCAGGTGCATCATGGGTAGAAGCAGACACAATACAATGCAAAGTCTTTTTGTCGATAGCATATTAATGATCTCAGTTTTGTTTGAGGTTATTTGAAATTTCTTGAAATCACAAAAGTGAATTTGATAATAATAATGATTTTGAATCATATATGTACAAAATACAAAAGATACATTTTAGAAATTATCTCACATGAAAGTGTTCTTCATTTTTTGTGATCGTGGATAGAGTCCTTACTGCATACAAAAAGTCTCAAATCTCAATAATGACTTTCAAGCCAAATTGTTTTGTTTATATACGCATCTTTCCTTGCATTCTTGTGTGTGATTTTTGACTGTTTATGTTACTATAGTTCCCATGATGCACTTGGGTATGTTTTCGTCTCATGTTGCTGCTATTGCCATGTTTGTTTGCATTGCACAGTTTCAGTTTGAACAGGGCACCAAAAGGTTACATTTGTATTGATGAGATTTACATGTTATCCGTTTATTATGTTAAAGTTCCATTTGAGTTGTTACTGAAAGTTTCAAGTGAATTAGGCTAATCAGCCATAATATGTTTATTATAAACAGAATGAAATTTGAAATACAGAGAAAAGGCAACAGTGCCCCTTAAATTTAAACTTCAGTTTTGACAGTAATTTGTCAATTGCATTTGATCATTCCAAAACCATTTTTTTAATCTGCAGAATAATGTGATATATTTCTTTTTACAAAAGTGTCAGAATGATGACTGAAAAACCATTGTGACCTTCTATCTCAATGTCATCATGATAGATAACTCTTGCTTTCTGCTGGTAGTCGGGAAACAGATCATAGCTTGGATTAAGTGCAAAATCTTTCTCCTGAAGTATGACTTGCTTAATATTCTCTGCTCAAAGGGAAATCGTCAGTCTTAAGCTTCACATTCTGCTTGTACAGTGATAGTTTATGACATTGTTGTAAGGTGTGCTATGTTTGGGAGACCTGTTCAGGTTCTAACCAGCTTGTATGAACAGAATAACAACTAGTTCCGAGTTTTAGAGCACAAATGTTGAAAACGCACAGCCCATTAACCATTGATTGATGTGATTAGAGCAGACCAACATTTTGAGTCAGAAACAACGTTACATTTTACAAGATTTTTTTCATTGTATTTTCATCAATGATTCATTTTCAGTTTTCACTATTTCTTCAGGCAGTGTAAGCAGTTGAAGCTTTCACTTGAATTTCAGTTCTGTAAGGTCAATAAATAGAATATTACAACTAATTCCTATCCAAGGCTGCGTTTTATATGATTTAAGGTTTGAATTTCTGAGGAATCTGCTGTTTCAGATGATAAACGTATTTCCTATCACAAGCTTTTGAACTTAATCTTACAGACACATTCCTTCTAGATTTCAGCTACTCTCGAGACATGAATCGTGACAATCGTCATCTAAGTCTCCAGACAAGGTCATATGCAAAGTATGTGGGTCACCAGCCCTATCACCTGAGGTCGGAGTCCCCATCACACAACCACTATGCCCCCTGGTGAGTGTCAGGTCACGTGTAGGGCAACTGGGTTAGAAATATACAGATATTTGTGTCATTTGTCATCTGTATTCAGCATGTGTTGTATAATCTGGTCTGGATATTGATTTATTGGTTCAAGATTATAGTTGGTTTTTTATTGGTTTCGATAGATATATGCGTTGAAAATTTCTGTACTTTGATCTGTGTGTAGGAACACCATGCCAATCATGACCTGGTATGGAAGACCTAGAGTAGAATTTTACGTTTTTGCTTTAGACATGTGAATAAAGGGAATTATAACCTAAACTTCAAACAAATATTAGTACTGGTACTTTCAAAAATGTCTTGATGATTAAATACAGTGTAACAGTATTTGACCAACTGCAATTTTCCAGTCATTATTTATTTGATGGAAAGTCATAGGAAACTATAAGAAAATTTCTAGACAAATAATGTGACAGGAGATTTATCTCCAAGTTTCTGCCAGTGTTGGATTGTGGATTGGCTAAGTGGACTTGCTGTGAATAGCTCAGCATTGCTGAACCACAATTTGATAATATTGTAAAATTGATTCATGTGTGTGCTGCATCTGAAATATTTTGGACATTTTACGTATCAGTATTTTCCTTGTTAATCTTGCAGAAGTTCTGCTTTCAGAAATGACAATATTCAGATGACCTTTGATCACTGCCCTTGTAGAATTACAAGGGTAGAACTGCTGTTAGCTGATCTGGAAGTACTGGTTGTCATTTCAGGCGTGGTGTAGAGACCCCTGGCGCCAGTGAGAGATATAATGGAGCTTCCATGATGAGTCTCGCCAGGAAAAAGAAGAAGCAGAAGTTCTTGCAGGTAGCTGACACCGAACTAACGCATGTTCATAAACTGTTTCTTGGGTTACTGAATCTTTTTCAAATCACAACTTGTACTCGATGAAACCCCCCAGTATGACGATCTGACGACACCTCCAAAGATTGTCATGCCAAGTGAACTTTTTATCAGCCAGTTGGCATCAAGGATTTTAAATTCTTCCGTATGAGTTTGCAAATCCATTTAAACAGGGATACCTAAATTCTCTATGTAAAAATTAACTAATACACAATTTTGAAGGTAGAAAGTATTGGCACCATTGTAATGGTTTGGATATTTCATTTATCCTGTCCTTTCTGTCAAATCTTTACCAAAATGGGAGCCTTTCATTGAAGGAATATTTGTGTTCTCTCTGGGTTTCATTTGTACAAAGTATCTGAATTAGTGTTGGTCCGGTTTAACTGAAATAATTGAAGATTGGTCGCAGTGACAAGACGACCATGCAATCGAACATGTTTTCTCATAATCGAACACAAAGAATTTTGGAATACTTGTTTGCAACAAACAATAAATTTCACAAGGTTGGTTTTGTGTGTGTCATTTAATTTACATTTCATAAGCACTTCAACTTGTTCCAAGTCATGATTGAATTTATCTTAAACACTTCAGGAAAATTATGACCTGACATACTAGTCTTCCTTTATAGATGTGACATTTTGTGCAATTTGAAAAAACAACCTCAAAGAACTACAGTTTTTTCTTTATTTTCTTGTGTGCATTAACAAAGATAACAGGAACATTTGATAAATGATGCTAACCAATTATGTTCGATGATTGGACCAATGGACCAATAATCATCAATTATGAGATTTTAACCAATTCCCAACACTAATCTGCATAGAGGGGGTTAAAAGTAGTGAAACTGAATCTTCACAGAGCTAAAAGCAGATTGGCAGAGAGGTATCGTAGCAGATAAAAATATTTTATTCAGTTTTGTAGGTTATATACTCATATTTGTAAGTTTTGTATGTACTTTTATTTACATAGGTGGGGACAATAGTTTTGAGAGAAAATTGCTCTTTCTAAATTTTCAATTATAGGTCCCAGCCATTGGTGGTTGTTGTACAAGGTGATTGCTTGAACAAGATGGCTCATTGCTCATAATATCAATCACTTGGCTGGTCCAGTGTTGGTCATTGCTGATCATGCTCGTGTTATAAATCAACTATATACAGGTGTGATGAAGACATATTTTTGACTCCAGTATAAAACAGCATTCATACACTCGGTCATTCTGTCCATAGAATATCAATCCTGACCTTGAAGATGGGCGTCTCTCTCCATCTGTGCCAACGAGGAACCCTTCTCGTATGTCTCGAGCTGAGGTTGACTGGAAGGAAGATGGGGAACTGACATGTGAGGCCTACACACCCAGAGACCCACCCTCTCAGAAGGATGTTGGATACCGTGATGTCGGGGGCTGGGACAAAAAGCAGCACTACAAGCAGGGTGTCCAGATGAGGAAACTCACTCAGACACCAGTAGACAGGGTATGTAGATTGTAGAGGTGACACCAGTAGACAGGGTATGTAGATTGTAGAGAGTGACAACCAGTAGACAGGGTGTGTAGATTGTAGACGTGACACCAGTAGACAGGGGTGGGTGTGGGATTGTGTAGAGGTGACACCAGTAGACAGGGTATGTAGATTGTAGAGGTGACACCAGTAGACAGGGTATGTAGATTGTAGAGTGACACCAGTAGACAGGGTGTGTAGATTGTAGAGTGACACCAGTAGACAGGGTATGTAGATTGTAGAGGTGACACCAGTAGACAGGGTATGTAGATTGTAGAGTGACAACAGTAGACAGGGTGTGTTGATTGTAGAGGTGACACCAGTAGACAGGGTATGTAGATTGTAGAGGTGACACCAGTAGACTGGGTGTGTAGATTGTAGAGTGACACCAGTAGACAGGGTATGTAGATTGTAGAGGTGACACCAGTAGACTGGGTGTGTAGATTGTAGAGTGACACCAGTAGACTGGGTGTGTAGATTGTAGAGGTGACACCAGTAGACAAGGTATGTAGATTGTAGAGGTGACACCAGTAGACAGGGTGTGTAGATTGTAGAGGTGACACCAGTAGACAGGGTATGTAGATTGTAGAGTGACACCAGTAGACAGGGTGTGTAGATTGTAGAGGTGACACCAGTAGACAGGGTGTGTAGATTGTAGAGGTGACACCAGTAGACAGGGTATGTAGATTGTAGAGGTGACACCAGTAGACAGGGTGTGTAGATTGTAGAGGTGACACCAGTAGACAGGGTGTGTAGATTGTAGAGTGACACCAGTAGACAGGGTGTGTAGATTGTAGAGGTGACACCAGTACACAAGGTATGTAGATTGTAGAGTGACACCAGTAGACAGGGTGTGTAGATTGTAGAGTGACACCAGTAGACTGGGTGTGTAGATTGTAGAGGTCACACCAGTAGACTGGGTGGGTAGATTGTAGAGTGACACCAGTAGACAGGGTGTGTAGATTGTAGAGGTGACACCAGTGGACAGGGGTGTGTAGATTGTAGAGTGACACCAGTGGACATGGTGTGTAGATTGTAGAGGTGACAACAGTAGACAGGGTGTGTAGATTGTAGAGGTGACACCAGTAGACAGGGTATGTAGATTGTAGAGGTGACACCAGTAGACAGGGTGTGTAGATTGTAGAGGTGACACCAGTAGACTGGGTGTGTAGATTGTAGAGGTGACACCAGTAGACAGGGTATGTAGATTGTAGAGTGACACCAGTAGACAGGGTGTGTAGATTGTAGAGGTGACACCAGTACACAAGGTATGTAGATTGTAGAGTGACACCAGTAGACAGGGTGTGTAGATTGTAGAGTGACACCAGTAGACTGGGTGTGTAGATTGTAGAGGTGACACCAGTAGACTGGGTAGGTAGATTGTAGAGTGACACCAGTAGACAGGGTGTGTAGATTGTAGAGGTGACACCAGTGGACAGGGTGTCCAGATGAGGAAATTCACTCAGACACCAGTGGACATGGTGTGTAGATTGTAGAGGTGACAACAGTAGACAGGGTGAGTCAATTGTAGAGGTGACACCAGTAGACAGGGTATGTAGATTGTAGAGGTGACACCAGTAGACTGGGTGTGTAGATTGTACAGGTTTGCCTGGCCCAGGTTCAATAATTTACTGTCAAAACAGCTGGAACATTGCTGACCAGTGCCTCTTTATTCACAACATACACACGCACAACAATATTTATCTTTTCTCGTAATTGCTGCAGTATTTCCAGAATTCACTCACTCATACTGACATAACTCTGACTCTCTACTATTTTATTTGACCAGGGTGTGCGTCTTCAGCCAATACAAAAATCCTTACATCGTGGCAACTCCCCAGAAAACTCACCCCCAAGTAAAACTTACCCAAAGACTGAGCAAGACTCAAAGACCCTCACATCAATGTCCGGGACAGAACTAAGGACGGGACCCAAGTCTCGGCCCTCCTCGGTCATGGCGGATGAACCACCAGAGGGCGGGGTCGCATCCCCCCGCAACAGTGACCTCAGACCTGTCAAAGGCAAATCAATCAAAATGTCCGACTACCGGGGGTACCAGGACCCTTACATGTGAGAAGTGCAGGGCCTCCTGTTTATGTCAATGTTGTTCTACAGGGACTCTCAAGAGGGGCTGCCATCACTTTATATAGGGAGTGTTAGTTCAGGTCAAACTGGCATTTGTACACGTCACTCAATGCCTCAGATAATCATTTGGTTTCACTCTGGGAGACAAATCTCAGAAAGGTCTTATCAATTTATATTAATTAATTGTGGTTATCGATTTCTCCTATCTGGAAGTGTTATGACATTGTTATCTTTGATATTATTTTACAGTTACAGATTCATTTAAGAGTTCAAGCATTATGAAATGTTAAATGATGCTCTGCACTGGCAATTCTCAGCAGTGTGTTGTTTTGTCAAGGCACACAGAAGGCCATAATATATTCACTATTAGGTTTTATCAGAATGTTTCAAGGGAGGCAATTCATATTTGTTTAAGAATTGTTCAAGACATGTTTTAACTACTTCAGTATGTCATTCTCTTGAAGTTCTCGAACAGAAAGATGGAAACCCACCTTCCAGATTGTCTTTATGGAAGTATTTGGGCGAAAATCTATTAATAAATTTGTTATGGACTTTACATAATTATATCATGAAGCTTATTTCAATGTTTAGATAAGAAGAGTTCAATATAGATAATTTATATTATCTTTACGATCTGAAGCTCATGCAGTTCAAATTATAATTTTAACAAAGCAATGTTACCTCAATCTGTAACATAAGTTGCCATATGTGATATGAAATATAGAACAAAAAACCACAATATTTAATTGACTATATATTTTACATGATGTGAAAGAAATAGATATTTGAGAACTGTTTTTGTTACTAATCAACAGAACTCTTAAGATATGTTGTATAAACTGATTGTTGTCTATATTTTCACAGAATTTGTCAGATTTTTAAAATTAACAGACCTTTTGTACTTCAAATCAGTATCACATCTATCCATGTTTGTCCCTTAAGATTGCATGTTTATACACATTGTTAAAGCATTATAACACGTTTCCTTGCTGGTATCAAATGTATATTCACCAGTTCCAGGATTAATACTCCATACTATTCACAAGGTTTAACAACACTAAATTCAAAATTCATCACTGAATTTCATTCTTGGGATAAATTAGGCGGGATAATTTTTGTAGATATTATAGTTCAACATTTGGACATTAATTCATTCCCATTGAAAACAGGAGCAAGTGTACTTGTCTTGTATCTGTTTGGAATTTACTTTAAAAAAAATGTTTTTAAATTTGTTCGTAAGAATGTAAGTGTTCACGGGACTTAAAACTTCAAATTGATTAAGTTGATTCATCAGCCAGACTTGCCAGATATTTTAGAAAAATACCTCCCCAAATACAATGCTGCTGTTGAATCTTAAGACTCAATTATCAGTCCAGCATTTTGTAAATCTTAGTAATATGTGTAAACTAATTGTAATACATCATAGAATGCTGTGTCCCTTTGTTGATACAATCTTTCACGATAAATCCCTAGTTCAGGAATGTTGTAAATACTATTCTGACAAAGCCCTCTGTGTTTCAAAGTGTTGGCTTGTACGACAGCTGTACAACAATGTGACAATCACTGCACATTTCTTCCGTCCATTGCCATCACTCAAGTCCGTCCCGTCACCTCCTCCATTATGCGAAACATACTCACAATGCAGTATTAGGCATGGCGTCAATTCACTGTCCGTTAGTTAAATATTTTGTTTTGTTCACATTTAACTGTATCTACCTCCTATAATTTATTCATTAGTACTTAGTTCATAGCAGGTAGTCTGTGCGTTCAAGTTGCCCACTTGTTTATATTTGCATTCTGATGTAGGTTTCTGCCAAACACATCGAGATGTTGGAGAACAAAGTACAGAAGTACTGTCCACTTGTGCAAATCAAACATCCACTCGAATACACGTGTGTATTCAGACATATTAATTCTGGAAAATATTCAAGCCATTTGTTTTCAGTATCTTGCTCAGTTTGTCATACAGTGAAAGAATTCTGAAAACTGCATTTTGTGATCATTTTTTCAGTCTTCATTACCCAAAGTTACATCTTAATCTGTATACAATGTTTAACACTGATTTGAAATAAATTATTGGACAATTTTACTAAATCTTTGTGGTAGAATTGTACAATAAATAAAATCTCAAGTAAAAGAAGTCGTCCCAAGCAAGTCCCGACCAGCCATTTCATGTCATCAGGTCAACACCAGAATTGTGTTCGTCTCACACCGTCGGTTCCAGCCGTCATATCCATCGGTCTATTCATTTCACTTTTCAGTTGTATTGTTTGCTTTCCAAAAAGCCTACATTTGGCATATAAAATACTTTTATTATAAACATGATAAATCTGTCTGTTTTTATTGCTACATGTTGTGGTATCAAACAGAGGCTGTCCAGTAATTCAAGTTGTGATGTTGTCTCCCTTGTCTGGTTCCTGATTGCAATGACTTAGCCGCACTTTAATTTGCATATCACATGACCGACTTTTCTCTAGTTTGTAAACAAACATGCATATTCGTAAATCAGAAAAGACTTGACTAATGCAAGCTTCATGTTGTTTTTACATTGTAATATAGATATTCTTCTACAACTGCGACAGTAAAGTTTATGACATTACATATTTATACACATGAAAGTGACTGCATCGCTGCTCTCCATACAGCTTTGATGCCACGCAATCAAAATACAAGTTTTAGGATATTTTCTCACTGAAAATAAACCATTCTATCAAAGGTTAATTAGATGTGTCGAATCGTAAAAAATAAAAGCATTATGAAATTAATGAATGAACTGTGCAAGATGTGTCGAATCATCACATCTTTCTGGCCTGGACTGGCTGTTTCACTAATGAATATGCCAGACATCCCTTAAAAATGTTGAGCCATGGCTGCCGGAAAATAAACCAACACAACAGGTACAGCTTTTGTGTATGTTGAATCCCAAAGAAAACAAACAACTGAGTATGTTTTTGATATTTTTTTTCTTCTTTTTTTTTTGTCCTTTGTGCAGCTATTACCAACTACATCATTCTGTCTAATATAAAGGTAAAGGTTTTGTCACACTTAATAAAAGAATAGGAACATTTCCAAGATGCAGCAACACTGTATGGAAAAAAAAAAGGACTTGAACTTTTATCTTGCAGGAATAATAGCACCAAGCTCTCCCTTTTGCCCAGAAATAATGAAAAACAAATTACTAGAATCATTAACAGATATAAATATATATCGAATCATTGAGCAGATTAAATGGTGTACATATTTTTTTTTCTCAATTTCATTGTTCATATACTTTTATATAACGTGAAAAATCATGAAGCAGAATCACTTTACATCATGAACTGGGAAATATGACACTTCTATATACAGGCTTTTCAATTTCTCATTTATTTCACTTCAGAATCCTCTATTTAATATGTAATAATTTTTATTACCTTATTGCTGAAAAAAAAAACACTGGCAAAATGGTCACTGACAATTTTCTAACTAAAACGGGTCAAAATAATGTACCATAAATAATTGTGATTGTATTACATTGTTGTAGAAATATACATGGTTATGACAAATGAACTAAAAAAATCCGATTTCCCAGATAGCTGTATGTACAAGAGCCACACCTGAAGTAGAATGTAATGTATATACATAAAAGGGTTGTCTTTTTCTATACAAACTAATATTGCCAGAAAGTGCCTGAATGAGACATTATTTGGTAGTCTAACATAAACCAAACTTTGAATAAAGGCACTGTCACCACACACAAAGTGCTAGTTTTAAATTATACTGAATGCATTACACAAACTACACAATTTCATGCTTATGGGCATTTAACAGTACCAGAACACAATTGGTGTCATTTCTATTCCATTATTTAGGAAAAGGTCCTACCAAATTTACTACAGAATACATTTTATACAAAAACAAGCTGTGAACGAAATAATCTTATTCCAAAGCATGGAATATCTTTTTTGACTTGACAGAAACATGAAACATATTCATTGCCTGTGGCATTAATGTAGGCCTATGTATGTTGTGGAACTTCAACAGTTGTGTCCATGACGACGAGCTCAATAATGCCATATTATCTGACCTGATTTTTGTTACAAGAGATCAAGGAACAGTTTACAAGATACAAAATTAAACTCAACAAACTTAACAAGGGCTGACTCAGGTTGTAATTGTATCATCAGTCTCTGACTCAGGTTGTAATTGTATCATCAGTCTTTGGTAAATCAGCCAGACCACGACAGAAAAACAGCATGCACAAGTCGGCTTTCATCTCGTTAACAATCCTCAGAACACAGCTAAAAGCTCTGATCCTGTGGGGTTTCTCAGTTGGGTCACGTCACAATTGTATGCCAATAATGTACTCCAACCTTAGAGGTCAACACTTCTTGAGCAGCATGTACATTCAGAATTAAACTGATACTTGGCCATTGGGTTTGGCTCTGGGAGTTGAAAGTGAAGAGACATCTGCATTGATATGCTATCCATGGACCTTGAGAATTTGGGTGTGCTCTAAGAAGATGGGGACTTGTGACAGTGCTTTATACGAATAAAAAAGAAACTTGCAAGAACAAAAGGGCTGAGCTGCACCTTTCCCTTTGTTCTCGCAACTGAACCTTGCTATCCCTAAAAGTGCTGTCACATGTCCTCATCTGTTACATAACTGACTGTTTGTTCGGAAAGTTTGATCTCCCATAAACATAAGATCATTTCCTGGCAGTCTGGGAGCTTGCATAAATTGTTAACGAGATGACTGGAATATGTATGCACTGAAATTCATATTCCACAAACAATATGCTAAAATTAGAGAATATTCATCTTTCAAATACTTAACAAGCCACAACTGATTCTAACATCTTAAATGCAAGACATAACAATTTAACAAAATAATAATTGCTTTCGTGCAGGATATTTTGATCACTGGTACTTGGGCCATGCTAATTTTGGGAAGTTAAGTCAGTGGTGGTTCATCCATCACACTTCAGCCCACCACCAACCTCGAAGACATAATATTTTAGCCCGGATAGTTCACTGTAAATTGAAATTCCAAATACCACTTATCAACGTAGCATTTTCAGAGCATAAACAATCGTAGAAACAAAGACTGGGACTCGGTATCTCAACACGTATCACTATTAAACTAAAACTTACAGTGTGAGCTTCTGTGTTTAGAAAACAATTTGGAAGGGCTTGTGAGCTGATAAGTGAGATCCACAATGTTATCCTGGAGAGAGATTGAGATGTGATTGAAGAGTTCATGCACAGCAGACAGGGTTCTCTCTCAATGTATTGTGGCGACATGAACGGATAGGACCACAGGAGAATGAGAGAACCTACTGTAGTAATTGCATACACAAGTGCATAGTGAGAGAAACAACAGAAGACATTGAAGACAACGTCTATCACAGATTTGTAGACAGGAAAACCTTGGTGAAGTAGCACAATGCTGTGACTGAGATACTGTGCCGACACCAACTAGTGAGCTGGTCAAGCAAGTCTTCTAATCCGAACATAAATCCAATTTGGCACAATGTTCAATAATGGTTCTGTTTACATAAGACTATTTTCAGCAGGTGAGTCTGTACCATGAGCAAACATAAGAGGCCATTTATACAGAACAGCATGCAAGTGACAACCTAAAGTAATTAACTGAACATTATTCACATAATCTAAAAAAGTCAACAAGCTCATGGGGATCCAAGATGTTAACAGAAGATGCACATGTTAACTTGAGATGTTAACAGCTCATGCACACGTTAAATCGAGATGTGAACAGATGCACACGTTAAATTAACTCATGCACACATGTTAAATCGAGATGTTAACAGAAGATGCACATGTTAAATCGAGATGTTAACAGTACATGCACATGTTAAATTGAGATGTTAACAGCACATGCACATGTTAAATCGAGATGTTAACAGTACATGCACACGTTAAATCGAGATGTTAACAGCACATGCACACGTTAAATCGAGATGTGAACAGAAGATGCACACGTTAAATCATGATGTGAACAGTACATGCACACGTTAAATCATGATGTTAACAGTACATGCACACGTTAAATCATGATGTGAACAGTACATGCACACGTTAAATCATGATGTTAACAGTACATGCACACGTTAAATCATGATGTTAACAGAACACGTACATAACACAAAGTTTAACAGAACAAGCATGTCAAAAGGATAAGAGAACATCCGGGTCCTCACAGCCCCGATGAGTGATAGAAACAAGTAATCAGCGTGATCGTGTTGGATCACTGGTGTGATTTCAAACACTGCACGACTGGTATAAGAAGTAAAATTCAGCACTTGACTATGAGAAACTATGAACTGTACACCATCACCAGGTTATGCAAGATCAAGATAAGATAAATATGTAATACAGGTACTGCCAGACTCACTAGTACAATTGTAAATAGGGTTATCGGACATTCACACAGCTAGGTTTTGTACAGTAATTCAGCTATATGTATAAGGTCACACAGGTCAATATGGTGCAATACAGGTTTCAAATATCGAACATTTTATGTACAGCAGGACAGAAAGCACTAATATATCAGACAGGGTCACCTATGCTCAAACACTATAAAAATGCAACATAAAATTGGTTTTGATGGTTTGTAAAGAGTTTGGTCAGCAGTAAATTACTTCAGTCTTTCAAGTTTTGCTCTACAGAAAAGTGCATATGGTTGGCATCAGTAACATTGTGCACATTCTGAGCTTCTGTTGTGTCCGAGGGGATAACAGCAAAATATGGTGACAAAAGTTGTTGCATAAGTTCTTGTCTTCAGACTGGTAACACTTTGTATCAGGGGATGCACAAATAATAATTTTCAGACAAACGATTAAGTTGTGTTGATTATTGGAACTTCGTGTTCTCTTTGAAATTTACCATGTTCACAACAGTATATCACATGTAGGCGAGGCCATTTCAAGTCCTGAATCTGTGGTGGTCCCATGATATTTCTACCTCAGTCAATCTCATGAAGACAACCCCAATGTCATTGACAAATGCTAAATGCCCTTGAAGATAAACAGACATGAGGAATGAATCAGTTGACAGTTGAAGGCATATTTCTTGTGATATTGTGTGTGTGTGTGTGGGGGGTCAAACCAATTCCAGATTATCAACAGAATAGCACTGTTTGTGGGGGGTGGGGAAAAAGGTGTTGACATTAAAATATAACTTCCGCATAAGCAAGACATGGGACTCTAAGATACTGATGGGCAGAAATAGTATTCAGAACAAAGGTTTAATACTGCTTCTAACAGAATTCCACTTAAAATCAGTATGTGTCAACTAAAAAAGGGTGTGAAGGTCTCTTACAACTTTGTTGCAACCCACAAGCATGGTTCTCGTAAACCTTTAGACATAATTAAGCAAATTTGAATTTGAGCCCACCATCGGTTTCTGGTGTATCCAGGGGACAAAACTCTGCCTAGCATGTTATGTCAAAATATTACAACTGAACTTCAAGGGAGGCATGGTTTTGCTGTGACATTCTTTATGCAGGTGTAGACCTAAAGGGAGTCACCAACCTGACGTGACGTCCCTTTTAGCACTATAGGACACGCCAGATAAAGACGAGAGACTGTGTTGTGGTGCCAATAGTTTTTCTGCAATGTCCTCTTACGACTGCCCATCAGTATACATTCCAACTGCCATTGAAAACCTTTTCCTTATCAAATGAAAATTTCGAAATAGACCCTCCGCAAGAAATATCAAACAAGTAAGGATCATTAAACTAGATCCTAACTCGTTCCACAGACACAAACACACATAGCAACAAAGATTGGTTAACGCATGAATGATAGCGAATGCATTATGTAAACAGAGGCAGACTTTCCCTGAAAATAAAACACTGAAAACATGAACAAAGCAATGCACCACAACTCAAGCTGAGACACACGTACAGTCATTCAAATATGCACATCACCTTTAGTTTTAGCATAAAGGATCATTTTCCATAAATAATACAACCTGAAAAACATAACTCACTACAGCGTTTGGAAACACCTTTGAAACAGAAAAAAAGATATTGCAACTCGTCCATTTTTTCATGGAGTCCTTTGTCTTTTCTCCCAAGCACTGAAAATAAACTTTGACAGGAGACCTTGAAAATAGTACTACAGCATGTTTACCATTTATGAATATGTAAATACTTCACTGAGAAAATAAAACCTGACATCTTAACATCAAAATAAAAACCAAGCGTCCTTGTTAGCTATGAAATATGATTTGTTAAGCATAGCTGCATTCAAAGAAAATATTTTTTTGATAAGATTAAGTATTCCTTTGTACCATATTCATGAAAATCAAAGCACTTCACTAAGGTGAAAAATGAATAAATGTCTTGTTCAACTAAATGAAGAAATGAAAATGAAAATAATCATTAAACTACTCTAAAACAAGAGTACATCATCATGCTAAAATGACGTCTTGGCTGTCAATGCAAACCTGTTACAAATGTCCAAATCATAAAGCTAAAGTGGAATTGAAAATGAAACGTTTTTTCATCTGAATATCCTTCATAATGATTATCTCCCTTTCGCATAACAATACAGTGGACTGTTATAAATATTCACAAGCATTGTAAGATGACAACAACATGCTGTCAACAATCAATATTTTACATATTAGAAACTCGGCAAAGAAACCATATCACAGCAGTATAAAGAACTTACACTGCACCACTATAATTATGGCTACATTCAAATCCACAAGTATTCTAGAGTTATCTCCCTTCCAGAATAACTCGGGGTGTCCATTAACATTGACCTTCATCAAATAGTAAAAGCAACCAAAAAACTTGGCAAATTTTAAACGTACACAGGAGGAAACGTCATGTCTGAACTGAACTGGACAAGCCTGAAAACACTTCAGCAAATATTTCACCTTGATTCTAACCTTCAAACAAGCAAAGAGAAATTCCTGCATAGCTGAAGTTAACACAATATTATACCTGGTGTCAGTTTTACAAATAACATTATGCAGCCAAGACAAATTTATGGAAACTCTAAAAATATTACGTTTTTTTACATGATATCTTGTCAATACTAACAATTTGAAATAGAAAGCCATTAAATTATCTCTTAAACATAAACTTGAGTGATGTACGGTACAGAGAATGGTTTCCGGCTTGCCCAGAGCGCATTGGTTGTGTGATGTCAGACAGTATCCCATGCTATATACAAGCCCCCTTTGTCCCATCAGTCTATGTACACTGTTTCACTTGGAGGCAGCAGCGGCGGCACCTTCTGATCCTGATGCAGGCTTGTCAGTTTTCTCTGTTGTGGATTTTGATTGGCTGGCTTGACCAGACTTCTGAGTGGCTGTTTTCAATTGGGTGTCTTGGGATGTCTGTTTTGAAGGTGTTGGTCCACTGGATTGATCCTCGAACTAACAAAGGACAGACATTATGATGGAGCTATTGTATCAGGTGGCAAACCTATTTTGTTACTTGACAAATTGAATAAATGATCTAATCTAGTCCAGGAAACGAAGTGCTTGAGGAACAATACCTGGGAATAAAATATTTCGCTGGTGCTAATTTTGGTCAACTAAAACGCATGTGTTTGTTTTTTTCATCTTTGTGATGGTGTTCTGTTCTCCCCCAAAATAAACTATTCTGTGACCTGAGATTAACACTGGTGTTCTGTCACAGTTCTAGGTATTCCAACGGCAGAGGTGTAGCTTACTGGGGACCTATTCATACCTGGAATCCCAATGGAAGTAATATTTGCAATATCACCAGAAATAGGCTTCACATAATTTCAAGATTCACAATAAATTTGGCATCAAAATTACACTCACATCAACTCGGAAATCCTCTAGTCGCTTGAATTTGGAAAGTTTTTCTTTCAGCATTGGGTCAACTTCTACTGACCGCCGAGAATACTTCAGGAACGCCCAGAACTTCTCCAGTCCATATAGCTGACCTGGTAGATGGCAAAACATTAAACTGATATATTAAAACAAGAGTCATCAGAAGATGACATATCCACACGGCCCCCACATATTTGAAAGAACAAATTATCTGACAGTTAGTTTAAAAAGTAAGTCCAAATCGTTTCCATGGAAATCATGAGAAATATAAATGCCAAAAATCTGTAAATAGCAAAAGGTACCATTTCAAAATTTGCCTAATATATCTGCCAAGTTCTGTTGAAAGATACTGAATGCTTTTCGAGTTGTGCACCAGAAATGAAGCACACCCCTCCCTTTTGGGACTAAGTCCTAATCGTTTCCATGGAAACCGGGAAAAATAAATATGCCAAAAATCTGCCAAATAGGAAAAGGCACCACTTTGGCATCTGCCTCACATATCTGCCAAGTTTTGCTGAAAGATATTAAGAAGTTTTCCAGTTGTGCTCCCGAAACGAAACCCACCCCTCCCTTTTGGGAAACAAAATGATTACGGACTGACGGACAGACGGTCGGACGAGGCATCGACTATATCCCCCCGCATTACATGCCGGGGGGATAAAAATGTCTATGCAACTATGAACATTACATGGCACAAAGTCACTGTATCGTATCAGGCACCATCAAACTGAACTGAAAGTGAAGTCTTGATGGTTTAATGCAGTTTTTAAGACAGAGGGTGGACAAGGACCCATGGTCCCAAGAATGGGCAAAAGGTAAGTTGACATTCTCACCACTTTCGCAGTCTCTTGTTGTGTCCTCCATGAAGTCCTTGAACACATCTAGCCGGAAACGGCGTTCCAGTCCGTAGCTGTAGTAGCGGAACAGACACTCTAAGCCGTACCTGAAAGCGGAACACAGTTAATGAGTTACTAGTGGAGCTAGAACTGTTGATGCACTGTTGAAAGAGTGAGTGAGTTTAGCTTTACACCGCTTTTAGCAACATTCAAGCAATATCACGGCAGGGGACACCAGAAATGGGCTTCACACATTGTACCCATGTGGGGAAATGAACCCAAATCTTCGACGTGACAAGCGACTGCTGTAACCACTAGGCTACCCTATCTCCTGATACACTGTCAAGTCAAGTACATGTCTAGTATATAGGCATTCTCATACTACAGGAATTGAAATTCTTTTTCTTTCAGTTGGTCCCAATCAGAGTGGATAGTTTTCGGCAATACCATGGCAGTGAATGACAATCCTCTTCTAGGAGACACAAATCATGAACAAAGAATAAATCTGTCAGGCAGTTTAAATGTACTGAAGTGACAGCACAATTCCAGTAAAGTTACCTGTATCCATCCTTGGAATCCTCCACAGCCAGGTTGCGAAAGTTTAAATGTACTGAAGCGGAACTCCTGGTACATCTTTTTGTTGTAATGCTGACGTAAGAAGAAGGACCAAAACCTGAACAGTGTGTTCATCTCCTGAGACTGTCCGATTCCAAGCCTCTTCCGTTCTGGTAACAATACAACACATTATCAGATCAAATTCATATTGATTAATTTCAAATAAGGAATGTTCCTTTAAGCAGAATAGTTTTCCTTTACTAGAACTTACTACAATAAATAGTTTGTGTGTTGTTTCTTGACAAAATTCACAATGTAAATCGAGTCTGGAAAACACCAGCCATGGGATATACAAAACTATTTAAAGATTATTTTCACAAAGATACATTCTCTGTGTGGTCTACAGCTAACAAGACAATACATTTATCCAAAAAGTGTGATAAATGAAGCACACTCACAATTAGCGGTAAGATATAGTTGATTTATCTCCAACAAGAACCTAGAATATGATTCTTTTAACATCTGCTCTTATCCCACTGGAATTCCTTCATTATGAGTGAATTCACGGTGTTTCAGTTACATTAGGCATTAAAACTACTGCTTTTACTTCCACGTTAAGTTGGTGCACAACTCAATATGCTACCAGAGATGACCAGGATGCCATTGCACAAGGGTGACCTTAAGCACTAAGGTGGTCATATTTACGGCAACTGTAGCAGTCTGGTTGTTTAGTACAATGGCACCCAGGCCACACGATTCTGCCGCCTAATCCCTGAGGTACATACTTAAGACATCAAAAAACATTGATATTCATAGTGAGTTCAGCCAGTACCCAATCATTGCTCACCTTTGAGACATTTGGCGTGATACTTGTGGTAGACAGTCCAGACGAATCCGTTCTCCTTCAGCAGCTGATGTGATGGATGCTCAAACTGAGGGAATGTGAGAGGAGTGCTGCCGTAGCTGACAGACAACTGGCTGTCCGACGGGCTGAAACAATCACATCACACTTACACAGTGCTCCACTTCCAACCTCATCAGTTTCAACAACCTACTGAAGTTGCTTGGTGAACCTCGGGCCCCGAACTTCGTAACACTATGCCGCTTGTAAGCCGATGATAAAGTATAGAGTTACGACGCTAACTCTATACTGTAACAATACTAACGCTTTGTGGATTTGGACCCTGATCATTTTGTGGAGCAGCCTTCTCTCAAGTTGCAAATTGTGAGTGAGTGAGTGAGTGAGTGACTGAGCCACACTCAGCAACATTTCAGCTATAAGGCGTCAGTCTGTATCGAGTCTGGACCAGACAATCCAGTGATCAACAGCGTGAGCATCAATCTTAGCCATTGGGATATGATGGTATGTGTCAATCAAGTCAGCGAGCCAGGCCACCTGATCCCGTTAGTCGCCTCTTACGACAAGTATGGGTTACTGAAGATCAATTCTAACCCGGATCTTCACTGGTCAGTTGCTAATTGTAACCCATACATAACTGGTTGTAAACAACAAATGTAGGATGCATAAATGTGAATTAATATCCATGAAGAAAACAAAAATTTCAAAATGGAAATTACAAAAAAAAAAAGATTTTGTGATGCAGCAGTGCCTAAGAACCAAGGCTACCATTAAGCCTAAAATTACTGTGGGTGAATTTACATTGAGAGATATTGTCTAAACACGTATTTGGCCTTATAAATCTTACAGACACTTTCCAGTTTATCACATTTTGTCATTTGATGAATACCCAATTACCACCACAGCTTTCACTTTAAAATTGGTACGAATAACAATGAAAACACATAGGGGTTTTTTTCAGATTATTTGTTGAAACATAAGTGAGAAGTACTAATGATGCACTGAATAGTTGAAATGAATGTTCAAGACTTGATTAGGAACAGTTCGAGTTCAAATCCACTTCATGCTTCCGAAAACAGAAACAGTCGTGAAAACGCATTTTTTATCATTCGTTGAAACACAGCAAGGCAATCCTGACAATGAAAATGCATGTGCACTTCGTGAGGTCTTTTCCATATAATGCACGTGTATAGAGAGCTCAGTAGCCAAGTCTTAAACATGCCGCGACTGAATCTGCAGCAACATGCACACGCTCTGGGATTCCTTGAAGACGGTATTTCACTTAATGTTGTTGCTAGTCTTAATGTCAACCAGTCCACCATTAGCCATCTTGTCAGTCGTCACCAGATGACAGGGAGTGTTGCTGACCGCTGTCGACCAGGATGACTTCCGGTTATGACGGTCCGACAAGATCGACAGATGCGACTACAGCAACAGCAGCAGCAATGACTGGTAGCCATGGAAGAATGATCCACCCATAGACAGTCATTCGACGCCTGAGACAGGCTGGACTGAACTGTCGACGTACATACCGTGGCCTGTGCTTCAGCCCCGTCACCGCCAAGCCCGACGTCAATTCGCACAGCAGTATGCGCAACAACCACTTTTCTTCTGTAGGTTTGTCTTTTCAGACGAGTCACGGTATTGTGTGTCATTTGTGGATGAAAGACAGCATGTTTACAGACGTCGTGGGGAACATTATGGGGTGACACAAGCATTCATTCAGCAAGCAGGAATTAATGTGATGGACTGGCGAGCATCACCAGATCTCAACCCTATTGAGCATTTGTGGGATGAACTGGGGAGACGTGTTTATCGACGTCAGCCACCATCAGCCAACGTCGCAGATCTCACACTGGCCTTGCAGCAAGAATGGAGGAACATTCCCATGGCCTTCATTGCTCGCCTCTGTGACTCATTGCCCCATCGTCTCAATGCCTGCGTAAGGGCGAATGGAGGACACACAAGATACTGACAGTGTTTAACGGAGTGACCTTGTTTGACCTTATCTGTACCACTCGCATTTGCTGATATCCAACTTTTTCAAAACCATAATCATTGCTTATTACCCATGTCATAAACTGAAAATGATTTGGATCTAAACGTTTTTTGTCACTTTTTTCCCACATCAAAATCAGTCATGCGTTTTCATTGCAGGTCAGTACAGATTGAATACAATGGGATATACCATGCAGGAGGAGTGAGCAGTGCCTGCTTTCTGGACTTAAAGAATTTCTGTCTTGACCCTCAATATTCATTACAGTGGTTTAGTTGGTGAGGTTGTTGTGAAAGCCATGAGACTCACCTCATGCTCATGGAGGTGGAGTTGTTTCTTGACCGTGCTTTGTGCTCCTTGGAGTCCATCACCCAGCCCACGTGACCCTCCACCGGGGGGTTGCTGCTGTGCCTCGTCTTCTTCTTCCTGGGAGTCTGAACCAATGAGAAGACCATGACAATAGACAGATGACAAACCATGCCACACAACAGCAAGTCCATGACTTCCATACATCGACGGAAAGTTGCAGATTCATGGCATAACTTATTTAGTTTGAACTCCACATTCTGCTTGGAATTTTAAATACATATCAGAAAGTTGAAACGGCAAAACCAATGACAAAGTGTTTAAGATGAAAACATAGCCATCAATTGTTTTCTATTTTGTTACAATCGCACACCTTAGTTTAATGCTTGAAATGTCCTTTCACAAGACAATGAGAAACTGGTGTCCGTCTGCCTTCCACCAACACTCTCAACACTCAGGATGTTTCACTTGGACCATTATTTACCTGTGGATCTGGAGGTCTTGAAGAATCCTTCACTACTGGGTAGAACCGTGGAGCTTTGCTGGAATCTTTGCGTGCGTGTGGTGTCCGAGGTGTCGGTCTGCCTGGCGTGTCGGGCACGTAAGCAGGAAGTGACCGTGCCACATCCTGCTGCACAGTCTGGGGGGACGGCACTTTCTTTGGTTCTGGGAAAACAGACAGGGAACGTTTGATGGTTTTAGCTTCATGCTAGAGTCTGCAATGTTACATCACAACAACATGCAATCTGCAACTAACTGAATGTGGATCAGATAAATCACTCATTGATATTGTGAGCAAAGACTTGTGCCACACCAAGGTCAATGACACGTGACACATCAAGGTCAATGACATTACCACTTTAAGGTCAATGACACGTGCCACATCAAGGTCAATGACACGTACCACATCAAGGTCAACAAGAAGACAAAGCCATCAATATCCCCTAAAATGGCAAAATACTCTTCATAGATATGTCTACTATGATTATGTCAAATGTTTTGGCATGTATATAGCAAAGTGGAAGGAGAGTATTGAAAGGTTTTTAAGTTCTACCACCAAATACAAACTTGTTGCCATGGAAACGCAAAAAATATTTTATTCAGAATTCCAAAAATGCCAAAAGGCACCAGTACAGCACCAGACCTATCTATGTGCCACGTTTGCTGCAGAAATAGCGAACGGTTTATAAGTTCTGCTCCAGAAAAGAACACTACCACCAATTTCAGTAGAAGTCAAATTTGATGCCATGGAAACGGAAACATAGATAAATCTGGTGGTGTACCAAAAGGCACCAGTACACCACCAGATTTATCTATGTGCCAGGTTTGGTGAAGAAATAGTGAACGGTTCTGAAGTTTTGCTCCAGAAAAGACGAATGTGCACGGACAGACAGGGTCCATTTTAATACCCCCCATAAAACACGTTGGGGGGGATATTGACACGTGCCACATCATCAACATCAATGACACAAGTCATCAGCTACACGAAGCTGTCTGTAGGTAATCAGGACTGGAGCTAAGAAGCCCAGGGCCTACATTTTCGAAGCTCTCTTTCGGCTAAGATAGTTGTAAGTTAATGTTAATGTATGGCACTTACGACTATCTTAGCGTTAAGAGAGCTTCGAAAATCTGGGCCCTGGTGCTGGAGACATTGCGTTCGCCAATCCTCATGAGGATTGTGAGAGGAATGAAGCTGTTGCACCCTGACAGCCTACCTGTAGATGTCACTGGTGGAGGGGGTGGAGGAGGGACCTCCTGTAGCAGAACAGCTGATGTTGGTGTCAGGTTGTCAAACTCTTCCTTGCTGATCAGGTTCACCGTCTTGAAGTCCCGGAGATCAATTGCATCGAACTAGGTAAGAGAAATAACAGTAATAACATGACAAACCTTTGTGTTCATTTCAGCAGTATTCCAAACATATTTGGGACACCTGTAGATCTTGGTCAGAAAAACCTATGTCAACAATGATCAATATCTCACATTACTGGATATGTAATGTATCACAAGATGTTGTTTTGTCGCCCTTACAAGCAAGCTGTGCCTTGGACCTAATCTAACCTATGTCCCAAAAGATACATTTGTTTGTAGTTAACACTGCATTCAGCAATATTTTGTTTACACGTGTACAACCTACCTATTGATCGGAATAAAGAGGTATCCTCTCTACCTGGTGTTATGTTTTTAATATATAAGTGATGTAGACACATCACCACCAGTGTCTTGTGTCATCACACAGTGCGGAACCAACCAACTCCACCTTGGGACTGATTGAGCTAACACCTTTTTCCGTAGTTAAAGGATTTAGCTGAATCAGCCGTAAACCGTATTCTACTGCATTACCAAGAAACACAAGCAACTTAACAGCAGGACAACACGACAATTCAGAATTTACCTGATCACTCTCTTCCCACAGATCCTGCTCATAGTAATACAGGCCATCATTGATGACTTTAATCAACTCTGACGACATCTTGGCACGAGGAATGTGATCCCCCGTGCGATCGCCACCCGGGTGTTTCCGGTAGGCTGGGGGAGTCTGAGTTACAATAAGAATTTTGTTGATATCACTATCAGCCAACTCATCATCTGAGTCGTCAGACCTGAAAAGAGAATGAGAGATCTTCATAAAGGTTTTGAGAAACTCAGTGTCGCAACTTCCCAGGCTTCATGTAAGGAAACGCTTCTTGCTCATCCTCCAAACTCAGACTGGGTGAAAAAATAGCTGAACATTGTTAGAGAGTGAGTGAGTGAGTGAGTGAGTGAGTGAGTGAGTGAGTGAGTGAGTGAGTGAGTGAGTGAGTGAGTGAGTGAGTGAGTGAGTGAGTTTAGTTTTATGCTGCACTCAGCAATATTCCATGTATATGGCAGCGGTCAGTAAATAATTGAGTCTAGATCAGACAATCCAGTGATCAACAGCATGAGCATTAATCTATCCAATGGGGATACTATGACATGTGTCAACTAAGTCAGCAAGCCTGACCACCCGATCCTGTTAATTGCCTCTTACAACAAGCATGGGTTACTGAAGATCCATTCTAACCTGGATGGACATTATTGGAAATACTAGTTCATACAGATCTGATCTCTTTGTCTCAACACTAACGTTTTGTTCAGAAACTTGATACTTTATTCTAAATGTTTTCTGAAGTAAAAAACAACAGGTTTACAGGTTGTCATGAAGCATTGAAATACTGTTATTCTACCTCCTAGAGCCTACTTGGACAATGGAGGACCAGGATTAAATGCCCTGCCTGCTGTTTCAGAGTACAAAGCACTAGCTAACCCATGCTGATCACTGTGGGATTAAGCCTGGAGTACCTACCAGTCAGTGAAGTTATTTTTTTCTGCCCACTTCAAGCTGTTCAATCTCCTCATCAAACATGAAGTCCAGTTCCTCCTGCTCTGGGGCCTTAGTCTCTGCAAACCCAGACTGCTCATCCTGAAAACAATACAGTGAGAGATGAATGACAGACACAGATGATTTGATACTGGATCATTCCTGAGTGGTGGCTGAGTTTTGGACGAACTTTTAGGTTTAAGCAATATCTAAACCCTGGGAGTAGAATGTGGTCTAAAATGAGAGCAATATCACATCAGCATGACAGATGGCACTGTGACCAAGAATTACAGATGAGCTGTATCACGATGGCCAACATGAGTGAGTGAGTTAATATTTAACATCACATCGGCAATATTTCAGCCATATTGTGACGACAAAAAGTTATGTACTAAGAATAAACATATGTATACTTATTTAAAATAATAAGTTACATCATTTCAAAACACAATATAAAATCAGGCTATAGATCGCCAACAACTGAAGGTAGATCACTCTGCCAACATGAACAAAGGTCCACTATGTTGACACTTGGAGAATGGTGTACACTGGAGGAACCTGCCTTAAGTTTCTGCTTCTCCCTGCGTTCCCTCCGCCGGACTTCTCGCCACTCCCCCTGAAGCTCGGGGGCGGAGGAGGACAAGTGCGAGGCCGATGTTGACTTGAGACTGTCCTTCCAGTCCTTCATCAGGTCATCCAGGGACTCCTCATCATCACGGGAGCTTGGAGGAGGGTAGGTGACCGAATCTGGAACAGCCATTCCCATATCAAAACATATTCTCTATAACTGCATTTTAATAAAAAATCCTATAACTGAGAAAAGCCAATGTTCTTCAGTGGTTTACAAAACAAGCAATCCCTTCACAATGGGAAATTTGCAATGAACAGACAAGCGTATTGACTGAATATCACTGCCACCAGAAAAATATCTCAAGATTTGTTTTCTCAAAATTTGATAGATGATTCACTCTAAGTTACACACACTGGATCAAAAGAAAACAAAGTTATCACTGGAAATAATAACAGCCTTGTCTGATATTCTCCAAAAGGTAATCTAAGTCACACACAGCTGTTAGTTGGAGTGGGACAGAGTAAGCAGCTGGAAGAACCAACCTGGTAATTTGAAAGGTTGACCAGGCACGAATTCCGGTACATCAGCATGTAGGTTGGAAGTAGTGATGAGAGCAGGTCCTTCAATTGGCCATTTCTCAGGGTCGTTCAAGCCTCGTATCCTGAGTAAATCCTCAGAGAGTTCAACTGTATCGCTGTCTTTCAATGACTGGGGAAAAGAAAAATTCACATAAAAGGTATAAAGTCTGCAAATTCTCAGATCACATTATACTTTGGTTGCACATTCATTTCATATTCATTAACAAGAACAATATCAGTGAATGAATAACATTATCCCAGCTTTATAATGGCAGCCAGCATAGAGTATTCAAGCCACAGAGACCAATCAATTTTCACTTAGTCAGCTCTTGCAAACATGGACCTCCAATTTGACAGGATTGATGCAATTCCGAACCAGTGGAGCCCACTTGCACAAAGTGATCTGACCACTACAAAGGCTGTAACTCCCATATTTCAATACAGACTCACCCTCATCTTACAGGGTGAGTGAGTTAAGTTTTACGCCGCACTCAACAATATTCCATCTATGTAGCGGCGGTTTGTAAATAATCCGAGTCTGGACCAGACAATCCAGTGATCAACAGCATGAGTATCGTTTTACGCAACTGAGATACGATGACATGTGTCAACCAAGTCAGCGACCCCGTTAGTCGCCTCTTATGACAAGCATGGGTTGCTGAAGATCAATTACAATCCAGATCTTCACTGGTCTGTGTGTGGAAAGGAGCTGTAGCTTGGCTCTGTACCTGTATGATGAGGTTGACATCTTGTGTGAGGTTCTGCACTCTGTGGAAGCTGGCGATGAGGCTGATGGGGATCCAGCCTCCCACATCCATCCGGCGACGCAGGAAGAAGTCACGCTGCAGGTTCTCCTCGCTAAAATAGTACTCACTGAAAGTAGAACAGGTCAGTAGATATAGAGGGAGACAACTCACCAAGCATTACGTGTTTTTCAGATCACATGCCCAGTTTTATTTGGCTAATACTTTGAGAGCTATGATGATTATTATGACGAGTCAACACTGTAATCTTAGTAATCTACACTAATATTTGACAGGCAAAATACAACATTAAAGATTTTGTATGTCTTTGCTTACAACTCACATGATACCACCTCACTGTGTTACAGCTAAACATGTTTAGGGTTCATAAACATACCCACATACTTGTCCAGTTAAAGACTTGAAATTAGCAACTAAATTCCTTTAAAAAAGAGCCAAATTGTAAACCCTGCAAGTAAGTTTCAAGAGGGCAACAAATCACCATTCAAAACAATAGGATCGCACAATACATAAACTATGAAGTGATTCTTCCTTACATCTGTTTCTTTACATAGTCTTTCAGCACCGCATCATCAACCATTGGGGCGCCAAAGTACACCGTCCCTGCATAGGGGGTGAAGTTTCCATCCACAAAATACGATTCATCATACTGGAAATCTGTATCTGCAACAGATACACACCCATTGCAACTGAATAGTGCTGGGAATTGGTTGAACTCTCACAATTGATGATTGGTTTATTACCAACGAACAATCATCGAAAAAATTGGTTAGCGTCATTTTTCAGATTTTCCTATCCAGGTTGTTATTGCAGATATGTAGAACATGATGCAACTTGCTACTTTAAAGTGATGACGAAATTTCCTGTACATAAACTTCCTGGAGTCTTCAAGAAATATTCAGTCATGACTTTTCATTAAGTGAAGTTAGTTTTCTGAAAATTAAACACGTTTTCCGGCCCTGACAACTTCTAAGATATGTTCCATCGTCAAGTATTTCAAACACTATAACAGTAGTTCCAAAATTGTTCGTGTTCGATTATGAGAAAATGTGATCGGTTGCTTGGTCGTTTGGTCACTCCGACCGATCTTCGATTGTTTCAATTAATCGGAACACCACTACAACTGACATGAGTTATTTCTAGTGTTCTGGACTTTGTATGGCTGCTGAGTTATCTCCTCTTACAACACAATTATCTCCCCTTACTATACCTTGTATGTTGTGTTGTATAATACGTGGTACTGCATTCAAGTGTGAAGAGGTTTTCCTTATCTTCAAAAGGGCTGAGTGCATTTTGAACTCAATGTGTCTGTATACTTTACAATGAATGTCATGCGAGATTGACATTAGAGGTCACTGGGGAAAAAATTGGGGGTTCCTGAACTTTATTACCAGTGATATTTTTATTTGTATTCTTAATTGCATCAAGGAATCATATATATTATGTTGGAAGCCCTTGAATAACTGTGGGAAAGGTAAGCATATTGGGTGTATCACAAGCAATGATCCACATTTTTAATGTATTATGAGACATTTTCATAGAGATGACACACTGCAAAACCACATCAACATGTAAATCTTGTGTGCTCTTGAAAAAAACCACCAATCAAATATATATATCTGATAGATTGGAAAATGTGATCACACACTTCTTTTATAACTAAAACAAGATGAAAAGAATCACCCTCGCTTGCAGTTCCTCTACCACGTCCGCGTCCCCTGCCCCCAGTGCCTCCTCGACCACGTCCCCTCCGTCCTCCACGGGAGTAACTGGAGAAGGGGCTTCTTCCCTCTGCTGCAGCATTGGCGATGTCGTCTCTCCAGTTCTTGGACTCTGCACAGACAACCGAAGTTGGGATGAAATCAGTGACATTCAAACAGTTACATAAGTAAAATCATTCCTAAAAGACAATCGATGAAATATCTCATCACTTGTAGCCATAGCTTTCCATATAACACTTTACAAGCTTAGAGTATTCATTGCATCATTGTTAAACTGATGCCATTATATGGAAAACTATTCACATTCAACTTTCAATAGTGATGTCATGGGATTTTTGTTGTTCTTTTGTTGACACTGCAGTTTGTCAATGACAAATCATGCACAACCAGTATCTATGAAGCATCTATTCACCATTAGAAAAGTACAGGGCCTAGAGTAAACAAGCAATTAACAGGGGTTAAAACAAGTTGCCTTTAACCCCTGGCTGCCGAGTTTTTTTTCAGGCGCACATTTTCATACGCTTTGAAAAGTGAACGTTGTGCGTGAATTGCGCTCGCGTGGTCCTGGATCTACGTACGGCTATAAAATTACACAGAAATGTAGAATATTAAATTTCCAATCCGTTGGTATAAATATAAGAGCAACTACCTTGGCGGTTTGAGAAATAGACCTTGCTAAATGTTGTCCAAATTTTGTTATCCGTTAAAAACAGTAAAATTTCTCCGCTTTTATCGCCAAGACCGATAAAAAGCACTGTGCTACTAATTTTTTATTTTGGCATCTTAACGGAAAGTGTGAGCGAAGAAAATACAGCCTGATATCTGAACGACATAAGTGTATATGAATTGGATTTATGTGCTTATGCATAACATTATGCGCTCAACATTAAAAATCACTCGCAATAAATGTCAAAAATGGATTTTCTTCCACGACGTCAAACGACAACAGAGAGGATATACGCGTAATATGATAAGGGGGCATAACTCCGTTATTCTTAAAACTAGGTCAATGTAACTCAGATCACATGGAGAGTATTTGTTGTGGATACGGACGCTATATTTTCGTTAGTTTTTGTTCATCGTTAACCAAACTATTCCAATTCAAAGTTCCCCAATAAGAGCGGATACGCTTTGGTAGTTACACAATTTATAAGAAAAGATGACAACGTACTACATGTGAAAGCACGTAATAGCGATTTGGATGGCCCTATCCGATATATAAGTTAGTTCTTAGATTCCCATATTCTCCTGTTTGTGTAGATGTATTTTGACTAATTTTGCATCGTTATTACCAGAGTAATAGCCATATCTTCAAATGTAATGAAATTGCTGAAAATAACACAACATTTTAGTTGACGTCATTGCTTGTTTTGTGAATTTTGCGACGTCGGAAAAAGACGACATTGGTATGCTGATTAGTATATATCTCACCTAATTTCCATTAATTGTGTGAAAGGTCTCGGCTTCTTTGTCAGAATTAACACTCTTTAGACAAAACATAAAATGACTGATTTTTCCGTTTAAATAGTGTCCTGAATATATCAACAATTAGACAGTTTGACTGTGTATCTTTTGTGAGCAACACGCACACCTGTTTGGCATTAATTTAACGTGAAATGAAAGATAACATTTCAAAACACCGAATATATTGTTTAGGATAAGAATTTTCTTTGTTTATGATTATGTAGCTATTTCTCTTCATAAGTATGCAATGAAAGATGCAAACAGATAGCTTTATATATGGAACTAGTAATGCATACTATATGTTAGAATATGGATGTAAGATTTGTCCAAATTAAGACATGACATGGTTTATATATTTTTATTTTTTTTTCAGATAAATATAGTTAGATTTTGATATCCTGTCATCACAATATTTTTAAATCGAATATGAATTGATTACATTATCGAAAACAATGATAGTGGATCAAAAACGCTTCCGCACAAACGCGACACCTGGCCAATCAATTTACACCATTGTTTTTCTATAAAACGACACAAAAATGTGCAAAGAACAAGACAATTCCTTTAAATATGGGTGGATATACATTTCATAACATATATAAATCATGTTCATTAAATATTATCAGTTTTACTTATAAGGTTGAATTAAATCGCCGTTCATTAACCTGTTCATGTGAAACTGCAATATTAGTTCAAATGCATTGAATATTGTTCATCATAGGAACTAAAGTAGTTGCAGTTATGGCTACGTTTGATCTTCTAACACTTGTGTAAAGGTTTAGAATATGGTGTACTGCACTAAATGTGTCAATTTCTTATGTAAATATTATTCAAACAATCAAAAACTTTCAAAGATTAAAACACCGTAAACCCTATATGCTACGTGCACATATGATATGATATTGAACAAGGCTAAATGTAGATACTGAAGTCAGTTTCATGAAAAAGTGTCTGAACTATCCGCAAAATATACACCATAATACTGACAGTGTAATCGGAAGGATTCAAGGCATTGTGTTTACTCTTGTTCAACCGACCTTCACCTCAAAGAAATTGCCCAAATATGTACAACAATGTTGACGTATGACATCCCTACCGATGACCTATTTCTTACAAAATGGCGGCTTTGCTGACAAGGATACACAGGATTTTTCGAGGACCCTTCCATTGATTCAGGGATCGTTTGTACATAAATATGAGATGTAAGTAATCAGAATGATTCTGACTATCTGTGTATTGTTATATGTTTTTATCATTTTTAATGTTAGTAAGAGAAGAAGCCAAAAATGCTGATGATTACAGTTGTCGTTCTGCGTGATTTTGCATCAGTCATGGCGTCACGCTGCACGGAAACTTTGACAATTTCTTATGAATTATCAAATCATTGCATTGTATCTATTTATAATTTCCTATTTCTTGCTACAATACTCTTTCCATGCATATTCCAAAGGTATTGAGCCATTGCAAGCAATGAATAGACGGATGAATGTTAGAAAATTTCAGAAAATGCTACACAGTGTAAAATAGGTTTTTGTCTTTGTTTACATTTCGGAGCAGCGCAGTCTTCGAAAGCACAGCGTTCGTTTTTACACCCAATATGTTTTTCGATCTTATTTTATCTAGACAGTTGGCATTGGTGACAAAGACCAGTTGCAGATTGATTCTTAAATGTATGGGGAATTCATTTATGCATTTTTCGAAGCTGAATATGAAATATACGTGATGTAATAGGCTTCTCAATACCGCCTTCGCTAAACGCGTGATTTTGTAAACACTATCCAATATGGTGGAAAGCTCTCACGGCGCTCGTGTAAGTGCATTTTTCGTAAACATCCCAACCGATTCTAGATTCATCGGCAACGTTTCAGAGTTATCATTAGCGATTTCATGTAAAACTGATATCAGTGATCATGAATATGTTATTTTTGAAATTCAGTACTCCCAGGGATTATCCGATTTTCACATTTCAAAACATACAGCAAATAACGCTGTGAATCGCGATTTAGTGCTGTGTCCAAAGTGGCGACATTTTCGATGAAGCCTATTTTGAAAGGTCATTTTTAGCACTTGAGCTTTGTCTAAAATAATAGTGGATGGTATCAAGAAACAGGAAATTTCCCGCAGAATTCGAAACTGTGAAGTGTATTTGTGTGCGTGGGATATTTTGATTTTTATTGGACTTGAAATTGAGGGTTGAAGGGGAAGGACATATATGTCCCTGTGGCATCCAGGGGGTTAACTGTTCCCCCTGTATACTACTTTACTGACACACTCCTAGACCATTAAATGTTACTCTAGTCGTTTCAAAAACTTACACTAGCCCAAAATTTTTGACTAAGCAGAATTTTCATTACATTTTTCCATTGTCAAATGGCTTTTATCAATTTATTTTACAAGACTGACCAGAATTTTACTGGACTCATGTTTCAGACCAGTGGCTCAAGCAACAGGAGTGTTACTCTTATTTCGGAAGCTGTCACAGATACTACATCAAGATTAGCTTTACGCGGCTGGCAAAACCTCACAAGTTCATAAAGTATCACACCTGATCTGTCTAGACAACAAATGATAAAAAGTCCACTGCCTGACTCACCATCAGCACGCTTGTCAGACTTGCCCAGTCTGTCTGAGGTTCTGCGCGGGTCTCGTCGGGAGGCTGGCGAGTTGGGTCGTCTGCCTTGACTCCGACTTCTGCCTGACCGCCGGCTGGACTTGGGTGGGTCTATCTCAAGGGGAAGCCACCTTTGTTTGGAACCTACAGATTTGGACATTTCATTGGTAAAAAAACCAAACTGACAGAGTAAACTCAAGTCGTTATTAGAAAATTGTGTGAAATATATGCCATATTTTGATAATTAACTATTTATCAATGTTTTAAAACTAAATTATGTATCTTTTACACTGACAATGATTTAAAATATCAGGTTGGCCTTTTTTAAATTTGCATATTTTGTGGACATATATCACCACACATCTCCCAAACATCATTCATAGTATCATTGTTATCCACCATATGCACAAATGTTTAATTATGCAAATTCCATAAATTTTACAAATTCCCCAAATATCCTTGCCTTACCACCAAAACAGGAGGGCTCATTTTCAATGACCAAAAAGACCATATAACGATAATCTCCTAATGTCTCTGGGAGACTTTACCACAAAAATCAAACCAACATACCTTTGATTGCTTTCTTTCCTTTAGGCGTCCGCTGAGATTCGACGGAAGCTATGGAGTTCTCCTTATTTTCTTTGGCAGAGTCATCTCCCCCTGAGTCACTCTGCGACTGACTGTTGTGATTCTGAGAGGCTGGTGGTGTTGGAGGGCCAGTGGAACCAGATGGTTTGGAAGGCTTCTTTGAATTCTGGGTTTGCTGCAGAAGGAACACATGCCATTAGAACATGATTACAATAAGGGAGTTGGGTTTTACACTGCTTTTAGCAATATTCCAGCAATATCACAGCGGGGGACACCAGAAATGGGCCTCACACATTGTACCCACGTGGGGAATCTAACTCGGGTCTTCGGCGTGACGAGTGAACAGTTAAACCACTGGGGTACCCCACAGCCCCAGAACATGATTACAAACATATATAGCAGACAAAAAGCTTGTGTGATTGACAGTGATAAACTGCAGGTCAGCTTTCACTTAGTTGTACACCTGTGACGATATAGGCTAGAATAAGTCTTCAGTAATCCATGCTTGTCATAAGAGGCAACTAAAGAGATTGGGGGGGGGGATCAGACTCGCTGACTTAACTGTGACATTCCTAGTAAAAGGGTGAAGTGATAACATCACTCAGGCTTCCACTACAGTCAGCCATGTTATAGCCATACTGCAGCCGCTGGCATTCAACACAGCTCGCGTGGGTCATCTGGAGGTGTAACTGGACAGTCAACCATCCACCCATACCATCAGGATTGATACAGGCAACAGGTGGTACATGGTCTACCACGGTTGTCAAGCCCACTGACCACTTAGCCATTGTTATACACCACCCTCAACTTAGTACTGTTTTAACACACACACACACCTCCTCCCAGAAGCAATATCGATAACTTCAATGGTTGCCTGTCAAAACTGAGGTCAGCACCAGACAGTGGTTGACATCGTGACTACCACCCATCACCAGGAACAGACACTAGTGGTGGTCTGATTAATTGAAATAATCAAACATTGGTCGCAGTGACTAAACAACCAAGCAATCGAACATGTTTTCTCATTATCAAACGCAACCAAACTGGGAACACTTGCTTGCATCAACAATATTTTTCACAGGTTGGTTTTGTCTGTGTCATTAAATTTACATTTCATAAGCACTACAAGCTCATTCCAAGTCATGATTGAATTTATCCTAAAGAATCCAGGAAATCTGTGTTCCTAACATACTAATCATACTTTAAATATGTGAAATTTGCAAATGGATTTTGTACAATTTGAAAAAAAACCACCCACATTACATGTTTTTTCTTTATTTTTTGTGTGTGCATTAACAAAGATAACAGGAACATTTGATAAATGACACTAACCAAATATTTTAGATGATTGATCGGTTGTAATGAACCAATCATCAATTATGTGAATTTAACCAATACCCAACACTAACAGACACCAAAAACCAGAACTGTCTATCCTGGAATCCTGTCTTTTACAGGTATGTGGTACTGAGAAGTTATTATCGAGTAAATGAAAGGAACCACCAGAGCAACTCACCTCAGAGAGTGCCGGCCAGTTGTCATCGCCCAGAGTGGGATCCTGAAATATACCATTCTTTATCATAAACAAAATTTGCAGACAGCAATCAGGTTCACCTAACAGAATTTCACCATACATTTCACCAATGAACAGTTTTTTTATATTCCTTGTTTACCTATCAACATTTATTACAAGACAGACACGGACAGACAGACAGACACAGAGGCATTTTGTGTCTTGCATATATATATATATGGGTAGACATTGCGATCTGGTAGGATCGGAGATTCTACCAGTAAAATCTGTGATCGGAGTCTCTTCCAGTAGAGATTGCGATCAGAGTCTCTACTGGTAGAATCTCCGATCCTACTAGTAGAGATTGTGCAATCGGAGTCTCTACCAGTAGAGACTCTGATTATATAGAATAACCTATACAATCTCTACCAGTAGAAGCTCAAATCTGATCCTACTAGTAGAGATTGCAATCTAAGTGAATATTTAGAAAAACAAAATTTATTTTCATATATTGTAGTATGACATCTTCCATTGAAAAGTGCACAGTTTGTCCAACTTGATGTTTACAAAAAAAATGAAAATAAAACATTGTTACTTTGTTTTCATATATGATTGTTATTGTAAATAAGTATAACTCTAACCCAAATATATATCTGGCCGATCATTTCTCCACCGTCCTGTTTTGTTGTTGTTATAGTACAGTTATGGGATTACAAAAAAGGCTTGATAAGTAAAGTAGTTATTGCGATAAATGGCAGCTAAAGGTAAATAAAGAAAAAACTAAGGTATTCGGCTATGTATGGGTTAATCAAGATATAGGTTGTATTAACAGTGTTATTTCAAGTTTTAAGGAAAGGTATATTACTATTGATAACCAGTGTTTCTTTGAAAGTATATCAAGTTATTCCAAACTTCGGTTATATAAATCTGTTAAAAGTGAAATTAAATGTGAGGATTATTTATTGCTAATTAGTGTACCAGTTTACCGTATTGCACTCTGTAAGCTCCGATGCTCTAATCATCAACTGCTAATCGAGGAAAGACAAAAGATCGGCCTAGCACGGATCGAAAGATTATGCCCTTTTAGCATTGTACCCATTATTGAGTCTGAATATCACTTCTGCTTAGAATGTAAGTTTTATAATAATCTTCGTCAGGCCCTGCTCCCAAAGTATTATTACACTTCTCCATCACTCCATAAATTTGTACAATTGTTGTCATCTTTGTTGTTTGCCACAGATCAATAAGAGTTTCTACCATTTAAATTGGAAATGGTACTGATAGAATCTCCGATTGTACCAGTAGAGACTCCGATTGCAATCTGTACTAGTGGGATCGGAGATTCTTCCAGTAGAGACTCCGATCGCAATCTCTAATGGTAGAATCTCCGATTCTACCAGATCGCAATCTGTACCCTGACATATATATACACACACACACACACTTTTTTCAGTAGATTAGCCATCATCACACAGTTGCATTACTCAATAAGTAACAGTGCTCCAGCTGTCCAGCTATTTGCAATCATGGACCCCCATGTAACAACAGTTGAGTTTGAAATTAACATAATTCAACTAATTGTAGACAAGTAAAGTTCAGGAAGGACGAGTGACATTTCCTTGTGGACCACCTCCTCCACCATTAAACAAATACCCCTCTGGAGCAGGTGAAATTAGCTGTAAAGATGAGGAGGTACTTCACAAACCTTGGCCTCAGTTTTCACATGGGTGGACTTTAGCGACCCTTTAGTTTCTGCAGAACTGTTTTCTGAAAACAAAAAGAAATATATTTTATATCGCATCAGCATTATTCTATTAATATAATGACTAAGATAATAAAAAAATAAATCATTATTTTCACAGTATTCCGTATTGATCCATGACTACGCAAGCAGTGTCATACCATCTGTCCCAGCAACATAAAATGTCAAATTATTTGGAGCATACAACATTGATCCGTTCTTTGACTTTATCACATGCAACCAACCTAGATCTAAATTAGATATGAAGTTTCCTGACTCAACAAAATGAGCATATGATACGTTCTGTTGTCTACATTTTAAACATGTGTAATATGGAATATATGTGCTATCTGGTAACAAGCCTGTATTATCCACGAGGGAGACAAGACTATTTACACGTCAGCCAGCTCAGTCCCAGCAAGGTCAGAAGAGGCTTAAAAGTAATCATGTCTTAGTCATGAAAACCAGTGCTTGATAGCACGAATAATGACCCCTGGTCCTGGAGCATGCTGACCGCCAAACAGCCAGGTCACACAGTGTAACCCTCTTGTCAATACTAGTCAATAGCCAGCTCTTAAACACAAACATGGGAAACAGGGCCTATTCTGGTAACACAAGCATTGGGGCATTCTAACACATTTCTGCATCAAAACCTGTATACTATCACGAGTACAACTACAAATTAAGGTAAACTAAATGAATAATGTACAAACACAACTAAATAAATTATGTACAAACACATCTGTCAATATGCTTGTGGTAAAAAAAAACCTTTTCATATCACAATGATATCCATAAAAGCTGAAATTTTCATGAAAAATCATGAGATAGTTAGCTTGAATGAACACTGACCGTAATAAATACAGTAATGAAAATCACAAACTGTGGTAAAACCTGTCTAAACTGGTCACTAGGTCAGTCCAAAGCAGCCCACAATAACACATACAACTTTATAAATTTCATGAAACCAACAGAATATTACACCTCTGATACCAACAACATTAACATCTGGCACAACTCCGGTGAAGAAAAAGAGCAAGTAAACTGCAACTGGAGTAAGCCGCACACGCCAGTAAACAGCAAGTACCATCTCCATTTTTACCATTTTATAAGAATTATATTGTAGGATCAACCACAAGTTCAACATTCTAAATAAAAATAATCCTCATCACCAAAGGATTTTATCAAAACCTAATTTTTAAACTAACGTAGATTCACCTCTGGGTAAATACAAATAATATATCCCTCTGGCCATAGATTAAAATGTTCTAAATTCTGAATCCAGACTCTGTGTCTCAATAACCTATAGATAATTCACGACTTGACAACATTGCAAATGAACTGGTAGATGGTAAAAGACAACCACAATGTGTTCACAATGACCTGATATACGAAGTGCCCCTGAAGCCACAAGACAATTATTTTCTCACAACAATGATACAGTCAGCCTCAGGCCAGAGGACTGCTATGTTTTACAATCACTGCATACCTACAATCCTCCATAAAAATAGACCAAGAGTAATTCAGTTCATTGGTGCAGTTGGACCAAAGCACATTTTATGACAGCACTACTAATTTACTGTTTGCATTATTCAATAACTATTAACATTTAGCCAATAAACATGATCAAATTAGGTAACTTCTGTGGAACTGATTGTTATATACCTTCAAATTTACGGACGTTTCTTCTCATGAATTTGGTCTTTCATCACAAAAGTTGTTAAATGTCATAAAAGAAATTTATGCTGGCCTGCTTACCAGTAGCTAGAACCATTTTCTAACTCTAGTCTAATGTAAAGGCCCACGTTACCACGGTGCAGTCACCATGGTAACAATACTGATTTTACATATTGCGCTATACTAACAGAGTCCTACTGATACAGATAGCATGATTTGAGACCAGATGGATAAATATAATTCTACAACGGTACAACAAACTACATTTATAACAAACATGCATGTAATCAACTGGGTTTTTTTAAATCAGAGCCACTTGCTGTATATTTTTGCCAGTTAATGACTTTAATACACAATACAAGTAACTAATTCGGCCTTCAGGAACCCACGAGTCTCTGCAATACAGGTGAGAATAGGTCAATATTAAGGGTGCATGGTATTATCATAATGATATATCGGTTTATTGAGGTACGATACATATCAACAGAGGTACAGATAAGCTGCGTATCTGCATAAATTACGCAAATATTTATATGAAAACTCAATTCCTATTAAGGCTGTTGCGTACAAGTACGCTTGAAATTTTTAAATACCCAATAAATGTGATCTTACATGCATACACACAAAAATGTCCAATCTTAGCATGCTTACCGGTGGATAGATAAAATTACTGATGTATATTGAGATATTCTATTTCAGGACATGAACTTGGCAACTTGCAGTATCTCTGATCGTTCCTCATATTGCAGATCAAACATTAATACCAAACACTAACTTTTAAACTTTACTATATTTTTACAATTAATGGAAAATGGCAAAATACCCAAACGAGTTTGAGTTAAGTGAGCAAAATTTCTTTGGTTACTCAAATGAAAATTAGGATACCCAGTTGAGATGAACACAAGAGAGTACATAACTCAATGACCCCAAAAGTTATCTGTAGCTCTGTATCAATATATCATTTTTGAATGCTTGGTAAACTGGGTGATGTCAAATGGTGATTTGTATCATGTGCTTAAAACTGAAAGAGAAGTTACTACCATTATGAGAATACTGATTGACTATACATACAGTTTCTAAATTAAGAACTTGATACATGTATATTCAGTTATCGATATTACATACATCTTTAGTCAGTAAACATCCCAAAACTCACCACCTGTTGCTCATCGAACAGTACATCAGAGTTAATTGCTGTTGTTTAATGTCACAGATGGCATTCACATATACAAAATTTATCAAAATATGATAGACGTGTACAGAAAAATATATTGCTTGTACATGAGTGAGTACGGCTTTGCACCGCTTTTAGCAACATTCCAGCAATATTTCCATGGGGACACCAGATATGGGCTTTAGACATTGTACCCATGTGAGGAATCGAACATGGGGCCTTCGGCGTGACGAGCGAACACTTTAACCACTAGGCTACCCCACCACCCCTTGTAAGAGTTTAAAACAAAAATACATATCACACAGCCACTTAGTCTGCAGTTCACTGGTGGTTATAGATCAATACATCCAATTTGTCCAGGTTTACTTGTTCAATTGTGTGTTCTGCATGTGAACATGTGTTAACTTTAGTTGTGTTGACTATCTTCAGCAGCTGTGAGGATGGATTGCAGCTTTTGTTAGACACTCAATACATCTACCATGCTTATGATGCACTGCAGGGAAGATTCTGCTTTACAGAACATGGATTAACAGCTGCAGACCTTGTAAAATGTGTGCCACTCATAGTTAAAATCTGAAATCTTACATGGCACATAAACATGTTCTACATTATTCTTAGACTGGCTTATCCAATTTTTGACACGTTTTGAAACGCAATGTTTCAGAGCTGAATAAACCGACAATGGCAGATTTATTGCGACTTATGACGCATGCACAGTCTCCCTGGCACCAGACACTGTGACGGTAGAGGTATGAGGTTCAACCAACTGACTGCCACATTCCTCCATCTTTATTTCAGTCAGTGAAATGGAATCGGCTTTGTCAGGAGTGAGTGCATGATGTTGCATGGCAGTCATCAACACTGGATTTGTATTACGGCTGACAGCCAATTTCTCAGGTCAGACAGGTCACATAACCAAAGCTACACATCTTCATGGCATACCACACATCAGCCAGGTCACACACAGTACATGCCCAGTCCCCAGTGTTACAGGACAGTGGATACTCTAGCCCAAAAGAAGAATGCGATGTACTATGAACAGGCTGAGTAAACAGATGGGCCTGAGGTTTGAAGCTCTCTCAGAGCTAAGATAGTCGTAAGTTACTGCTAATGTGTGGCACTAACGACCATCTTAACAGTAAGAGTGCTTCGAAAAGCTAGGTCCTGGAGTCGACTGGCCCAAAATGTTCTTCACATCATTTTTAGACCTTTTTATTGTTAGCATATACAAGCAGAACTTGCATGAGCTGAACTGACAAAATGTCACTCAACAAGTAGCTAAGACAAGTGTCGAAAAAATGAGGTCATTAGCTCAAAAGCCTTTGGCTAACTTTAATAGTTGTTTTTGCCCCTTGTCATCATGGTTGATTAAACTGCCAGTCCATATATATAACATTTAGGAATGAATGTCAAGGGGCCACTGTTAATCTGATGTCAAAATACTTATGAGACAGTAAAATAGTTCATAGAACTCACTACTCACAAGTTGCAAGACGGTGGTTTGATGGTGGTTTTGCACACATAAATTATTCAATTGTTGGTAACAAAACTGCAGACATCTTGCATCCTGAGGTACTGTTACAGTAGTAGTGTATTCAGGTACCCTACTGACATCATGGAGAACACCAAACTGAGAACAAAGAACTCCTACTGAGGGAGTGAATGAAACCTACATTCATGAACACATGACTGATGTGTATGGGAAGGATGCCCCTCAATATTCCACTGTGGCAAAATGGGTGGCTGAGTATAAGCATTAGTCTGTCGTACAGACCCTGAAGCAAATATATCCAACAAAGCCCACGCAAGTCTAGAAAATGTGGCAAGTCTAGATTTCCTCAGCTTCTGAAAATGAAGAAAGTCTCAGGGCTCCTTTTCATTATATATTTTTTATTTTACTATGAACTTTTTTCAGTAAAATATGTTCATTTCAGAGACTAGTTGTTAGTCTATATAAGCATGGACGTACGTTGCTTCAAGGTGATCAACGATCAGGTTTGACCTACAGTTGTTCTCACTTACAATTCCATCGCAAAAGTTGATTGGAGTGTGAGTTGTGTTTTATGCTGCTTGTATCAATATTCCAGAAATGGGCTTCACACATTGCACCCATGTTAAAAATTGAACTTGGGCCTTTGGCGAGAAGGGCAAGCATGTTAACCACTGGGCTACCCC